CAAAAATGATCATTTGATAAACTCTTATTACATGCGCATTGATGTTACAAGGAGAAAGTTGATTTTAATCAATCTTGGGTCGACTAAAAGGGTTGAGATAACTTTGATTTTTGCTTGAGCCAGGGAAAAAGTTTAAGCCGGGTATGGTGTTCTTTTTCGTAAATTAAAAGAAAGAAACCTTGATAACGTTAATGCTGTATAAATCAGTTGATTGTATGACGTTTTGAATTAACAATCACGTTTCAACAATACCTTTTTGTGTAATAAATACATAAATGAAGAAAGCGCTCTCTTGTAAAAATTATTAAAACTATGACCTTTCGACAATCAGTCTACTGTCTTCGACGGTTAAAAATTTGTGATAAAATGAAACGCTGAAATTTGAATATAGAGAGTACTGCGCAGAAATCAAAAATACACGTAAAAAGAATGTTCGGATGAATGCTAAAATTAATGAAAATAAAAGAATGTTATATTGTCTAGGGAGAAGGCATGAGTTGTTGTCAGCCTCAACAGTTTTTGCTGTGTGCCATGATTCCACTGTCTTGCTGGTGCGATGGTTTCCTTTGTCAATGATCGTAGAGTACTCGTGATCAGAAGTCCATGCATGTTTTACAACGTTAGAACCTTTAACACACTGTTTTTGTCTTTCTTTTTTTACCAGAGAACGCTTCATTCAATTTCATTATGATCAATCTTGGTAACGGATCCTCGATATCTTGAAATACCTTTTTGGCTTCTACGGCTTTCTCCTCCTGCCCCTCTCCATCCACAACAGTCACAGCATAATAAAGCTCCATGTTAACCGGGGGGTACATGTCCTTGAACTTGATTTTACCCGGGCTCTGCAGGGACTGGTCCCGCTCGCCAGACACGTAAGGCGTCATACCCGCGACATTGTTAAAATACCTCGTGCTCCGATAAATATTGAAGTGTTTAAATTCCCCATTAGATGTGGGTTTCTCTGGACTGAAACACACCGGGATATAGAAGATAAAATAGAAATGAGAGCGGAGAAATAAAGTGGCAGCTGTTCACAAGAGCAGGACGAAGACTTTAGTTTAATGTCCTGTCTAGGTCTGTCACATTATGAAAACAGATTGTCTGTTTCTTAAAAATGATTATGGCGTGAACAACTCGCAAAAGGTCGACTACTCAAATAACATTAAACTTACTTGGGGCTGTTAGAAGTGAGGGAACTTGACGAAATAACCGAACACACAAACAGAAATAGCGATAAAGGAACACTTTAGACTCTCCCGCCTTCAGTAACTGGCATGCATTTTGTCAATAATGGCTTTTTTCGTTCGAAATTTGCTCCAAAAACGTATTTTAAAGGGAAAAAAGAAATGGAACCAAATGGTTACAAAAAACTTAATGCTAAAGACCTTGTTCATATTGACTCAGGACTTCGGGAATTGAAATATTAACGAGTACCACATTTGTCTTTTTTTAGCAAGTATTCCACGAGCGCGCGTTAGATATGGGATGGTAGATATGAGTTAGCTATAACCATCTCATATCCAACAAGCGCGAGTAGAATAACTGTTTTATTAAAACCGCCCCCAAAATATAGAAAACCAAACTAAACTAAAAAATAAAAACGTCGAAAAAATTACGCATGCGCCTGCCACGTTTGTGGAGCATGGTATAATGGCTCATAACCCATTATGGCTAAGCCAATGAAATGTCTTGAATTACATTATTCAATGATCCAGTTTTCAATACAAATTTATTACTTTTCCTGATTTGATTCGTACCTAAATGGCAGCTTGAGCCTGTTCCACTGCAGTAGAATCCCATCACAATCTTGCTTGGCAGTGAGGTCCTGGACCTTAAGCCCGCCGCCCAACACAAGTACTTGACGTCGCACTCGGGCCGCGGTGTGACTTGGGATATCACGCTCAACTACAGAAACCCTTTGTTCTTCGTTAGCTGCCAATAAAGAAAAATATAATTACCAAAAATGGCTGCAAGCGGCGTTTGAAAAAGGGTCAAATCGACGGATCTAATCTACTTACCAAAGTGAAGGGGATCCAATGGCTCATATTGGAGATCACCAAGGTCACCGTTAATCACTTGAATTTCGTCCTCAAAGGCTGGAAAAGCGAGAGAGATTCAATTTTTTTGAGCGCTACATGTTCTAATCAATTACATTAACCATTCAATTTTTTTCAACCAAACAGGAAGCAGAATAACTTGTCACCGCTCGTTTCCCGCGCTTGGCAGCGCCTGCATGGATTTCCTTTGAGATCTGATTGGCTCATTGGCACTCTTTTTGATTCTTGCGATTGGCTAGATTTAAGTCTTGTTTTGTTTTGTTTTGGCAGCTAGTATATATATAGTAACAAACACACTGTATTCTCCCACGCGCGGATAGCACTCGCGTGGAAGAGGATCTCAGATAAACAGGTTAATTAATTCGAGGAGTCTCGCGTGTCTGACCCTGCTGTCCCGGCCTGCTGTCTGCCATAGAAAGTTAGGGAGCTTTAAGGAATGACGACGGCTATGCGAAGAACTACGTCAAGAAAACAATGGATTTATATTTTACCTTCGAATTTCGCAATTATGTAATGCCAGCGGTCAATTCCAAAAGCAAATACGAGAAATTAGTCGTCGTGGCTAACGCTCTTTAACAGAACTTGGTCATTTTACGTTATTGTTGTGTGCGCGCGTAGAGGACGGCGTCGAATTGTATAAATGTTTATAACTCACGTGAATAGCAATTGTTGTGCTATTTACCTTTTGTCGCTATTGATATCTATGAAGTGATAGCTGATGAGCACGAGATAATAATCTTCTTCCTGTTTTGATGCGCAAGGCAAAATACATAAAACCAGCCAGCATTAAATTCCTGAGTAATAATCTTTCCTCTGATATAAAATTTATGATATACACTTTCTCTCGGATTCTTTTTAACGTGGAAAGGAGAAAAAGATTGAAAGAGAAATAATAGAATTGGTAATGGCAGGAAATCAACAGATATCAATTTACAAATACGTGATTTACGGTATGGACATCACTTCCCAGACATTACTTTTGCCATGAAATATCTTTAAGACCGTCGAATGTAAAACGGTATTACCAGTTTTATGAAATTTTATGACCAGTGAATAAGAAACAGTAAAACCCCTGAATTGCATGCTGCAGGCCTGAAGACAAGAGAATACTTCACACTTGGGGCTCGGGTTGTCAAATATTAATTTCACAGCCAAAAATGAACTATTTGGAGTTTCTGTTTGGTACTTTAAACATGTTTAAGGGTTTTTCGCTATCAGACGATCACATCGGTACAGCAAAATGTGCCCGGGAAAGTGTCAAAACCCTAGCTTGAACAAGTACCGTAACTCGATGTTGCTTAACACATAAATTTAGCACGGTACATCGAAAATTCAGAGGAAGATTTTTGTCCTGTTGCGTCATACGCTTTGACATAAAAATCAACAAGCCGAACGACTTACCGCAACTGAAGAAGATACATGAAGAAAAGAAAACAAGACCAAAGATCTTGCTCCGCTTCATAGTCCGTGCTGTGCAGCTAGCTACACTGGAACTAAAATAGTTCAATTCCTTTCCTATCAAGCGGCTGCACTGACTCTCTTGGCTTCCTTTTCAGCACGTTTGTGAAAGGAAGTCGAGATAATGTTACGAAATTCACTAGGGTGAAAGGTTACACATGCTACAGTAAGAGGACAACTGGAATCGCAAATGGGTTTCGTATTTTGGAGTTTGATTTAGGATTGACTTATTCTATTATGTACTATACAGGGTACTTTTCGTGGTAATTATCCGAGTTATTTTTGTTATATTTGTCACACGTTTGGGGTATTGGCTGTAGAACGTCTTCATTGGTACATTCCCCGGGGGGACTACCACATAAAAAGGAGGGGGTGCTTGTCGTACCTTTTAAGGGTTAATCAAGCGATTGTGGTACCTTTTAGGATATTCAGCCTCAAAAGGTCCACAGCCGGAGCTTTTGCAGTACCTTTTACGGTATTGAGCCGAACAAATATGACAGAAGTGTTGTTTTAGAATTGGTTCTTCTTGGTGGGTGAAAACAATTTCAAGACATGCCCAAATAGGATCTTGGTACCCATTAAGGTTCTTTTCTCTTTTCAAAATTACCGACGAGCACCCCTCTCCTTTTTGTATGAGTACCCCCCCCCCATCCTGGATCTCCCCTCTCTAGCTCTCATTGTATAAATGTTCTGACCCCCTTCCCCCTGCAATGCCAGGGCGAGCCTCCTTCGCGTGAATTAGCTCGTCCGTCATACAATTCTTTCCAAACTGTATCGGAGACCAGAGGATGTATAAAACTCTAAGCTGTAGCGATTTATCAGACAGTTTTCGTGGACTGACTATAGAACACCTACTAAGAAACATTTTGTGAATGACATCCGCTACAGACGGCGCACATATTTTGCTGCTACAAATGAAACGGAAATTGTGAAACGAAACCTACCTCTTTAGCTAAGCATGCAGTGTATAGCCAGCGTCGAAGACGCCGAAAATTTCGGTCTGTAACGCAGGCCGACAGTGTGATGATTTGCATCGAGTGCAAAGCTAAGAGGAGTTGCCGGCCTGATGTGAATTTAGCAGAATAGCACAATGGTTCTCAGAGATATGTCTTTAAGGGAACTCATTCACGGAATTTCAAGCTATTTTGGCTTCGTACAAAATTACCTTTAATTACCTGAAAATAGTAGTTCACTGAGCTAAAAAAAACACCAAAGAGATAATAATAAACCATAAAGGAACAAGGATAGTTAATCGTGGAGGAGATTAACACGGATTACAAGCCACTAACTTGAAACATTTAGGCTAAACTTTTCATGATGCGCTAACCGTGACGTAACTCTTCTAAATGTTGAACTTGGGAAATCGAGTGTAACGCAGAATAGGACTCCGCGTAGCCATGGCATTATCATTATATTTACACATTTTGCACAACATTGAGTGAAGAGTAAGATTTGGGGGATTTTTCGACGATTCACGAGAATATCAACGGTTCCGAAAAAATGAGTTTGCGCCGCAACTTGAATGGAAGCCAAAAACATTTTTTTTTTATTACACGTAAAATAACTTCCCTGTCAGATTTAGTAAATCGGACATAACTTTTAAAAAAAAGCATCAATTACAATATTTAGAGAAAGACCCGCATAAACCCTTGGCTGGGTTTATGCGGATCCTCTATCATGATCGAATTGGAATTTTTTAAGGAGGGAGAAAAACCGGAGAACCCGGAGAAAAACTTAAGGGATTTAAGGGTCAGGTCATAAATAGGGTTTCGAATTTTTGGTCAGGTCATAAATAGGATAGGGAATATCGCAGATTTTGGTCATAAATAGGGTAAGGGTTTTGGGAAGTGGGCCGCACACCCCAACCCAATTTTTCCAAGTGTACCCCCCCCCCGGTGCGATCTCGTTGCCGTCGTGTTTTGCCTAAGGTCTCTTTTAATCTATCGAAAACGGCCTATTGTTTTATTTTCTACCCTCGCATGTGATTTGATCTAGATGGAACCTATGTTCCTGATAATTAGAACACCGCACCCCCGTCCCCGATATCAACCTTGCCTTGGTAGATTTGGTGTTTATTTCACACCCTCACTACTCTTTGACAGCATATATAAAGAAACTGAAAGAGAGAACTGAAAGACACTTTTTGAGAACTTAAATATTAATCTTGCTCGTTATGTATTTGCGAGCAAATAAATATGTAAGTTTAGGCCCTTCCCAAGTTTCGCGCATATGCACTTGTGGTTTCAAACTTTTTAATATTGATTTTGAGGTAATCCAGCCTGCGTAGCAAGCGTTCCCCTACAAAGAGCTTTTCCGCATTCTGACCGCGCATGGAGCGATAGCGAAAATTCGACGAAGCAAGGTATGGTGGAGCGACGATCTCTCGCCCCACCACCCCCTGCTTCGTCGAGTTTTAGCTCTCGCTTCAATTAACGCGCGGCCAGGAAGAGGAAAAGCTTTTCGTACCCTTGCTACACAGGCTAGAAGAAAACGTTTGCAGGGACCTGTTTGTTCTGATCGAGCTTTTAAGATATGAACGAGTCTCTGATAAGTCATTTGAGTCCTTTATTATTTAATGATACTACGTTACAAATTTAATTCTTCTGCTATGAAATTGCTTTTTTCTTATACAAAAGGTTTTAACTAGTATCAGCATCTAAAGCCCGAACAAGTGACTTGGTAATTCAGAACCTTTCAGAATTTCTACTATAAAAAGATCAGCTACAAAAGTCCCTGTCGACATAAAGGTCCAATACTGTCCCAGTTCGCCCGCGGAACGTTCCGGCTAGGGTGCGCTGGGTATGAATTACGGCTGGTTGTTCTTCAGGATGCTGCTTTCTCTCCTTGGATGTCTGGTTAAAAGCCATACAAGACTGTTATCAGCTTTTGTTATCACATGATTAGGTGCGCATTAAATATTAACAGGGCGGTAGCGAGATGAAGTGTTCTTCGAAGTCGTGATGAGCACGTGATAGAGCACGTGAGAACACGTGATCAGGAAGCGCAAAAACGCTCGAGGGAGCAAGTACCGTTCATGAAAGCGTCAGTCCCCGAGAATCAGTTGAATCTGCAGTTCTCGTTTCTTGGTCAGAAGTTACTTAGTCTTAGTGCGATACGGAAACAGCTCATGCTATTCTCTTATTGGACATTCTTCCCTGCAAGAAAACAGTACTTGCACTCTCGATAGCTGTTTAATGAAAGGTGAACAACACAAAAAAACGGGAAGAAAGAATGGAAACCAAAGAAACCTTTTCATTTCTCGGAAAGAAGAGTGAAAATGTTACTCAGTTAAGATTAAAAATCGCCAGGCTTTCATTACGGTAAGTGTTTTAAACATAGTGCAATATTAGGAGCATTGTTATTTTTCCTTGTTGTTGTCGTTGTTGTTTTGCGTGTAAAAAAAAGCCCTTTTACAATTTTTTTCGTAACAAGGAAATATATGAACAAACAAAGCTAACTGAACTAAGTTTATCTGGCTAAACCGTTTTCAACTTTTTATACTTGATGCACAGTCTTATAACATAAGAAAAACACTATGAAACACAACTGGATTCATGCAACGAAATCAATTTTATTTTTCGGGAAACTTCACCTTACAATCACACAGATTCCAGTAAATGTTTTAATTGTGCCTTTAAATATGCTTTACCTGGATCATAAAATATATTTTTTGTTACTTTTGAATAATTCTTCTTGAATTTAAATGTATAAACTTTTTATTAATTTTAAAAAAATTGATCTGGAACTTTTTAAAAAATAAGTTAAGCTTAACATCCTCTTTAAAATACTTCACCTTTTAATAGAAATAACTTGCAAACCCAAAATATGCAACTCTAGATTCTGTATATAAACATTACTTTCTTTGTAATTTATGAAAAAATAATCTGAACTGCAAGAAAAGCAATTCACCAACCAATAAGCTGAAAATTGTGCGACTCTTATGGCATGTGCTCAGTTAATGTAGAGAGACCCTTTTCATGTATATGTGCCTTGTGTCTACAAGATGCTTACACTAGCTTCCCGGTGATAATGACCGATAACTGTTAGCTACTAATTCCTAAGCCTAGTGTAAAGCCTAACCTATCTTACTTAGTCACTATTTTTGCCTAACCAAACTGCTATTCTAGTGCTGTTCTACACCTAACCTAAAATGCTATTCTTTGCCAATCTGACAACCAGAATCAGAAAATATGTGGTATAAGTGTCTTCGAGTGTCTCGCTAATGTCTCACTACACAAACCAAGTACAGAAAGGCCACTTTTAACTGAACATAGACAACAGTCAAATCAATGCTAAACAGTGAACATCACATCACTGCTTTTACAACATTAGCACATGATGAAAAGTCTTCAAGGGTATCTGCTGATCAAAATGTAATACAGACATGTTTTTGTGACACAAACACGACTGATGTTTGGACATTCAGACTCATGAAAACTACACTAGCACATAGACAACAGTCAAATCATTGCTAAACAGCGAACATCACTTCACTGCTTTTACAACATTAGCACATGATGAAAAGTCTTCAAGGGTATCTGCTGACCAAAATGTAATACAGACATGTTTTGTGACAAAAACATGAAAGACGTTTTGACATTCAGACCTACACACAAATAGTGAACAACTCTCACCTTGTACATAATCTCAATATGGCTATTTCGTTTGACTGACTACTGCTCTCAAACAAATGACTCTACTTAAAAACTTTGACGTTACAAAATTCAAAGGGAAGAAAAGTTTAGTACTTTTTATCATGGTCTTACAAAGTATTCCATTACAATGGTGCCCGTAAAATGATTTCAAATTTGAAAATGTCATTCAATATCGACTGACATCATTCAATGAAAAAAGATGTCTTGTCTTTCAGAACAATTCACACTTGCCTGATTGTTTAGGAAGTGTATTTTTCTCCTGTGGCTCAACATGCTTCAACTTGCTGTGGTCAAAGGTTTTCACTTCAGCTCTTGTCTCAGCAGCCTCCTCCTTGATTTCTAAAAACAACAAGTTATTGTGTTTGTTCTTGAGCAAGGTATTCCCACTGACACTTAGATCAGCTCAGTTTTAGGGGAAAAGCACTAACTAGGCATGGGGAGCAGATTGCCATAGGGAAGGGGCATAGGCTCTATGTACTATGTTAGGTGTCTTGGTTTGGAAATGCGGGATCACTTCGGGAAAGGAAGGATTGGTTAGGGGATAAGATAGGAAAAGGGAGAATGCGTTACTAAAGGTGGAGGGGTGCAATAGTAAAAGGGAATACAGGCTAGAAAAGTAAGGGGATTGCAGGAGTTTCATTAGGGGCTGGACACCAGGCAAATTGACCTGCTGCGAAGAAGATTTTGCCTTCCTGGTCGGACCATCTGGCAGGAAGTTTCTCTTCTAAAGAAGTTCAGTTCAAATAGTTTTGCCCACCTGTGAAAACCAGTTGCCACCCCGCTGAAAACAATAATGAAACCCCTGGATTGGTTTGGCAATGAGATGTTGATACCTTGAGACTAAAGGAATAGGTTAGTGAAGAGGAAAATGGACAGGGGGGGGGGGTGCGGCGGGGTTGGACTAGGGAAAAAAAGGGAAAATGAAGATTTCAGGGGGAATTTTATGATGACTCAAAAGAATCCATCAAGAGAAACAGAATGTCTGGTGGTCTGGGAATTTTGTGAAAATAAAATTTCGTCCACCCTGTGCCACCATACCTTCCTTGGTAGGCAGATGCGTCTTATCTGTAGTTTCAACGTGCTTCAGTTTTTTTGCTGGGTCAAATCCTTCAATTTCCTTTAATTCAGCAGCCTTGTTTGGCAACTCATCAGGAAGAAGTTCCGCTCTGAGTGTCTGTGATGTTGGTGTCGGGTTTTTCTCTTCTGTTTCAACATGTTTTAGTTTTGATTTGTCAAATGACTTGACTTCAGCTCTGGAATCAGCCTTTTCCTCTTCGATGACTAATGAAAAGGAAACAAAAAAAAATTTACTAAATAAATTCTAACATAATTACCGAATAAATTGCCAAAGATACACCTTAAATGTTTGTCCATAGATTGAATGTCTATCCACAATTTGATATTCTAGCTTAAGAGATTGAAGCCCTATTAAAGGTTTTTGGGACAGAGGATAGTCAAGTACAAAATTAATGGGATAGAGGATATTTGGGGAAAAAAAACTAATGGCATATGGAGATCAGATAAAAAGGGATATCGAGTGGGAGAATTCTCAATTTTTGCAGCTGGAATAAATGGGATTTGGGATATTGAGCACAGGCAGATCCCAGATTTTTCAAGCAAGAGTGGCTGGTGCCTTAGGGTTGCAGAATCAATGGAGCATGTTCCCAAAATGTTGCAATTTGAGAATTGGAGCTTTTGAAAACTGTTTCACTAAAAATACTACCAATACCTCAAAGTGCAAATTACAGTGAGGTACCTTTCCAGTGAGTTTGCCTTTATTTCTGCCAAAATATTCACAACTTTTTCCAATTTTTAGCCACCCAACCCCTCCCTCCTGGGATATGGGGTACTCAGACCCCCTAATGGGGCCTTGAGATTGAATATTCTAGCTTACATGTAAGCCTGTCAACGCACCTAACTTTGTTGGTAACACCTCTTTTTGTTGGGTCTCGACATGTTTCAGTTTGGAATGATCAAACTTGGCAACTTCAGACCGATCAGGGAGTGTGTCTGGCATCATTTCTGCTCTGATATCTGAGGATATTGAGAACAGAAGGTGAATAAGAAAAATGCAACACAGCCACATTGAAAGACAACAACAACAAAATAGATCAAATGAAATACAGTTCAGCAGTTAGCAGTCACCCATTCTCGACACAAAGTTCTTCTAGTTACAACCCTTGGTTAGGAACAATTTAGCTGCTAAGTTGACAGTTAACTATGTTCACTTGCAGTAATCTGAAATGTCAGCCGTCTTCTCATTGTTAATCCTTATGGCACCCATCGCACCTCAGGTTTTAAGCACAAGAGGATAGCTGACACTTCAGACTACTACGTTAGTAACAGAGATGTTTTTCGTTAAAAAAAAAATTAAAACTAACCTCCCGCTCCAGGTAGTGAAACTTTTTCACTTGTCTCCACATGTTTTAGTTTACTGTGGTCAAACGATTTCACTTCAGCTCGAGAATCAATGGCTTCTTCTTTGATATCTAATGGAGATAATATTGCAGACCTGATTACTTCACAGTTTGAGAGCTCTTTATCAACTAACTTTTATTTAATTAACAGGTTTGACTGTTTTTCATGGAGCTTTTCAAATCATGACTATAACTTCTTCTGGAAATGAGTTTTAACTGTTGTGCTATATGAATGTAAATTAGTGCTATAAAGTCTGAAATAATTAACAATTAACTAAATTTATTTTAATTTGTACAAAGAAACTCTAGACACACCTTCTTTTGATGGGAGGACTATTTTCTCTGTAGGATCCACATGCTTGAGCTTTCCATGATCAAACTTAGTGACTTCAGAACGGTCAGGCAGGACATCTGGCATCAATTCTGCTCTGATGTCTATAAAAACACAATAAGGAGGTGGATTACAACAGTTTGCCTTTTTTGTTACTGGCACAAAAGGAATAGAGACAATGAGGAGGGGAGAAAAGCTGAATTGGTGGAGGAAGACGTAAGGGTCCAGGAGCAGGAAGGAGAAGTAAGAGCATCAGAATGAATTGGAATTGACCAGGATAACGAGGTGGTGGAATGTTGTCGTGGAAGAAGGAGGAGGAGGAGGAGGAAGCACAGAAGGACAGGGAGGACGAGGATGAGTGGTGGGAGGGGCATGAACTACAGTCAAACCCCTATTAAGTGGCTACCTACTAAATGGCCACCCCTGTTGGGTGGCTAGTAATCAAAGTCCCACTGAGGATTTTTGAATTGTTTTTACCTATATTAAATGGTCAACCCTGTTTAAGTGGCCACTATCAATTTCCCCGAGGGTGGCCATTTAATAGGGGTTGAACTGCAGTGATTAAAGCCAGTGTTTTGTCATGTAGGTCACCCTAACAATTCTCCACGAAGCCACTACTTTTCCTTGGAGGAGAGAGGTGCTGGAAGACTGGCATGCTGAGAATGAACACAGAATTCTCTATCTGGAATCCAACCCATGAAACCCATAAGGACACTCCATCCCTAACAATCAAGGGTTTGCATACAGGTTAAGTCTGCATGCCAGCCAAGTAGCTCATTAGGCCAGAGCTTATCCCGGTTTCTGTAACATGACGCTGGTCCATCACAGGGTTACCCCTAGCATTTGGTCGCTGGCATCCATTTATAACCCTGGGTGGAGAGAGGCACCATGAAAGTAAAGTGTCTTGCCCAAGAACACAACACAATGTCCCCACCATGGTTTGAAGCTGGATCGCTTGATCTGAAGACGAGTGCACTAACCATGAGAACACCGCACCTCCCACCAATCAAAGGTTTAGACTTGATTAATAAGGAGAAATACCTCCAGCTCCTGGTAGAGTGTTCTCTTCTTTTGTTTCAACATGTTTCAACTGACTTTTGTCAAATGTTTTAACTTCTGCTCTGGAATCTACAGCTTCGTCATCAATGTCTGAAAACCAAAAAAAATCATCATCAAATAGCTTTCTTGGAAATTGAGCCCCTAGTATTATTGCACTTAGTTCATGAAATAAATCCCCAATTTATTGATTTATTGAGTCCTTCAAAGGTGCTAAAAAAGTTGATCCATTTTACCTTGTTTACTTGGAAGCACAACTTTCTCTGTTGTGGGCACATGGTGCAATTTGTTTTGATCAAACTGTAGGACTTCTGAACGGTCAGGTCGTTTTGATGGAGGCGGCATCCTCTCTGCAGTGAGATCTGAAAACGAAAAAATACTAGGTTATCAACTACCCACTTTCAATTGCAGCAATCTGCCTCGCTCTCAGAGCCAGCAGATATTTTCAGTTTTTCCAGTTTCCGTTAGCAATGAAAAGTTCAAGGAAATTTGTGAAAAATGGACAATTACATGTAGTTTCTCAAGTATCTCTTGTATCTTGAAGAGTATTTTTATTTCATACACCCAAAGAGAACAAACTTGTAGCAAAAACACAAGTATCCATGGAAAGAATAAAATTTATGTTGAGGAATAACTTGGCACGAGTGGTTTACCTTGTGCAGTAGGAAGAGTTGTCTTTTCTTCTGTCTCGACATGTTTGAGACTAGTTTTGTCAAATTTCTTCACCTCGGCTCGGGAGTCAATAGCTTCCTCGGCAATAACTGAAAGAGTGATTCCATGCATTATTTATAACAAGTTTATGCACAAATTTTTCCCAAGTCTCTATCTGTCTGACATTGAACCCTCAATTTTTTTTATTACTGTTCTTCGTAGAGTGTAGTCTGAGGCAGATACAGGATTTTAGAGAAGGGAGTTCAAGATACGGACTGCTGAAGGTCATCCCCTCTAGAGGACTCCAGGGGCATCCTCCCGCTCAAAATTTTTAAAATTGAGGTCCCTGGAAATGGGATTTCTGGCATTCTTTGGCCAAGTTAGCATGTTAAAATGTCTCATTTTTTTAATATGCAGGGTCTGACTAAGCCCCCCAAAACCCCCCCTCGATTTGCCCCAGGCAATACAAGACTGAATACTTGCACTAACATCAGATGTCTCAGGAAACAACAGTTTTTAAAAGTCAGTGGCTTTGACAGATCAGCTCCACGGGTTGTAATAGGTAGATTTCAGCCTAGGGTCTCTTAACTATTGTCTTACTCTCAGAGCAGGGAAAAATTTTGAAATCCACTTGCCCAGTGGGCTAGTAAATTTCTGTGGCATGCTGGATCCAGTATATGACAGCCAAGATGAATGCAAACAAAGTTTGCTTGGGATTTTACATTTATTCATGCTGTCAGCTCCTGGTATCACTCATCTTCCAATCTTAAGTTTTTGACATAGCTTTTGACTGGAAATTATCATTTGTCAACTAAGATTGATTTCACTTGCCCAACAGGTCACTGAACTTCTATTTCCGCTTTACCAGAAGAAAATTTACTTCCCTGGGTAATCAGACCTGGATTTTTTCCGGCCCAGATTGACAATGGTATCAGAAAAGTTGACAAATATCTCCTAGTTGATGAAAATCTTTCTTCTCATCACCCATGTACAATACTTTGTGTTAAATTGTAAGAAGATTTTTAATGTTCATTACCATCTTTGGTAGGAAGAACATTGCTTTCCTTGGTTTCAACATGTTTTAGTTTGGTCGCATCAAATTTGGCAACTTCAGATACATCTGGTAGTTTGTCAGGTCGCATTTCTTCACGAAGTTCTGAGGAGAAGATAAAAAGTATACACGTAAGGATATGAACTTAGCTTTACTGCACAGTATGTCAATGGTACCCTTGTGCTACAACAAAACTTATACCTGCCATGGGGTTTAATTGATTTACTTCTTAAAACATGCATATTTTGCACAAAAAAATTTTTTCTACAAAACTGTGTTTTTCAAACCCGTAGTTTTTTTGAACATAAGACCAAATATGTAACATGCATGAAAAAAAATTATATATATATATATTACAAACATGTCACACTTGTTGCCAAACATGTGAGTAACCAAGGTTATATGTCAAGTGGCGGTGATATCAGTACAGTAAGAAATACATGTGACATGTTGATATATGATAAATGATCTACAGCCAAATGAACAGATGTGGCCCATGTTATATATTTTGGCTTTTAAAAACAAAACATGATAAAAAATATGATGCATATGACACAAGTTTTAAGTGAGAATGCAAACTTGTGGAAAACGTGTGATGCATATGACACGAATTCTGTCTATCACGACTAACGACACAAAGCATGGCAAATCTTGGTTCTGGTATTCATGTTAACAAATTAGTTCACATCAAGGAACTACTTCTTGTTGGTCCTGAACACTCTTTGTTCAAAATATTTTGATACTGAATGCTGTAAACTTTAAAAGAAAAGATCTCACTTGGAAATAAAGAGACGGAGGTCTCGCCAATCAGTTGTCTAGATCTTAGTCATCCCCTGGGGGAGGGGGAACCTTCTTTATTTCCATTTTGGTTTATTACTAGGTTTTTGATGTTTTTGTTGTTTTATTTTTTCCTTCAACTTGAATGAAAAATTTTGAATTAAGTTGAGAGAATCTAACTGTTTTGCAGAAGGTTCCTTGAAAGAAATGTTCCATCAGCCAAGCAATTATATAACAGACAAGAAATCAATGATTCAGAGCTTTCTTTTGCAAAGAATTTACATAATAATATTAAGCTGCAGTATGCTAATTTTTTTAGTTACTATCATATAACCTTATATGGACTAAAAGTTGACTTTTAGCTTTAAACCCCATCCAAGCTATAAATAATTATTGTACTCAATGAATACAACAATTTACTGAATAAGTACTTTCATTAAATGTAATGGGGGAAAATGTTCAGAGCTATCTTACTCAATAAACTCATGAAGACTCTTGAATTTCAAGTAAGAAATTATTCTGTGAAAAATATCTGACTACAGATATGCAAATAACTATTAAAAATACCAGGATGGGGAAAACAAAAATATTGGATAGAGTCATAAATATTGCAGTGCTTTAGCGTACAAGAGGAAGCGACTACGCCTTAAAAGGGAAGATGAAAACACAGTAAAATTTTTAGCTACGAGATTCAAGTATGCAGTGTTAATTGCAGGATTGATTTTTATGCCCCAAGGGCAATTTTTGCTTGAAGGCTTCTCACAAAACAACATTGGTGCAGCATTACAAACAATAATTTTTTGACCTGTTGAGCACATGACGGTATAAAAACTCCACAACAGAAAGTAAATTTGAGCTTGGCTATTTCCGGAGTGAAAAATTTCAACGATTAAATCGACAATTAACCCATCTTACAAGTGGATGATCTAGTGCTGGCGAGTGTGGAAAATGGAGCTGAATGACAGCACGCAAGTTAGTAACGCACGTATTTTCTCTCATTTAGCGGAAAAACTTTTGTCAATGCATTGACACAGGCTTATTGTCTGATGGAAACAGTACGTGACGCTCGTATCTGGTTTCCGCAAAACAGCACGATCCTGCTACGCAGCTCACATGAGCTGTTTTTATGGAAAGTGAATTAATATTAAGCTTAAATAATCTCTGCTCAGAGCTAGCAAATGTTTGACCGTTTTTATTCCCGAGAAACTTCATGAATGAACATTATCCCACCTTGTGGCGTCGGAAGAGGAGGTTTTTTCTCCGTTGTCTCCACATGTTTTAGCAAGTCCTTGTTGAAAACTTCCACGCCAGAGAATGGCGCAGTTCTTTGCTCGTCCTCGATCGCTGCGGATATATTCAACAGAATAATATATGAATAATAATTTAAAGGGCCTACAAACTCAAGAACATAAAATTAACACACCTACGCTGTTAAAAATTTCATAGAAACTGAAATGAACGATGTTTTTTAATAAGGAAACTAACTTACTCGTTTTCGATGGCAGTGGGTTCTTTTCCTCCGTGCGAGTTTTCTTCAATTTTGACGGATCAAAATTCTTTATTTCAGAGCGATCAGGAAATTCGTCTGGCTGAAGCTCTTGTTTCAGTGCTACAAGATGCAAAATCAATGCATATTTCAGTCAAAACTAAGTTATACAAAGGCAACCTGCAAGCATGTAGAAACCTCGCAAAAATATACTGTAGCTGCAAATTTGATGCTGATCAACTTGGTTCGATCGTTCACGGTCTCTCGATGAAGCTTCGATACCCTCACAGCCAACAAGTTCGCCCACCATTTTAACATTTAAACTTTCTTGCACTAAGTTAAGCTTTTGAAATAAACAATGCAACTCAAATATTAGCGTGTAACCATCTGTCTTTCTGAAAGGAAGTCTACGAAATTCTTCAGCGGTGCAGAAGCCATGGAAGCTCGCGCTGCTAGCAGTCATTAAGCTGACTTACTTTCGTTCGAAGGCAGAGTATTCTTCTCTTCAGTCTTGACATGTTTCAGTTTGGAAGAATCAAACGAGGAAACCTCTGTAAGGTTTGGTTTATCCGCCATATTTCCCGAGCAGTAACCCTAGTCACAACCTCGTGAACTTGTTATCTAGGACTGAAACGAGAGCGATTTCTTTGCCTTGGCTTGCACAAGCGAATGAGGCCCGCCCCCATTTGGACACTGATACCATTACCATATAAGGAATGGCGTGACAAGCGACAACACAACGTGTTTCTGCAGTATTTTAAATACATCTTAGAGTGCTTGTCATTTTCTCTGATCTTTCTTTCTTTCTTCTCTTAAAATTGTTCTGTTTTTTCACTCAAGAATACTAGTTCGAATGTATGGTTAAAAACACCTGAAATTTATTTTTGCTGACCTGAAAGAGTACCAAGAGTTTTGACGCCTGCACCAGGTGATTGTAGCAATAATACTTCTATTGAAATATTCTTAGCAGCTTTTAATTAGTTAATACATTTTCAAAAAGCTTGAATTTCACCTTTTTGTGTTTTTATAAATGTAACATTTTATTCAAAGGAAAGATGATAATTTTTCTTATTATTTCATATTGGTTTTTATGGGTAAAATTCTGGGTAAAATACTATTATTTATTATTGTTGAAATATAGATTTTTATAACAAGAAAATATACCTTGTTTTCAATTTTCTTAATAATTCATCCTACTGTCTAGTTTCACTTATTATTTTCAGTATTCCAGTTCCTCAGATTTGTCAAAATTTCTACTCTCACGACATTCGCAGTACCCCTGTAGAGTAAAAATATATGAAAGAAATCTGATTTATTGTTCCTACATTTTTTTAAGCCCCTGACTGACGTGCTGTGTTGTACACCATGCATATTCAGGATAATAATATTGCTTTTATGTTAAGTAAAATAAATAACAATATTTAGAGAGAAAGCCACATCAGCCTTATATGGTTTTCATGCAGGTCCTCTATCCTGGTCGAATTGGAATTTGGAGAAGTTTGTTTTCGTGGAGGGAGGAAAACCGGAGAACCTGAAAAAAGACTCTTGGAGCAAAGCAAGAGCCAACATACAGCACACAGCTGGAATTAAACCCTGGCCACAAAAGTGGGAGGGAGTGCCCTCACCACTGCGCCATCCCTGCTCCCCACAAGTCGTTTTGGTGGGTTCAAATAATCTTCATTTTATTTGTCATACTGCACAACTAAGCCTACACTCCATATTGTCATTTAGACTTGATTTAACATCTAAGTGCAAAAGATTCGTATATTTGTGTCTTGGAATTTTTGTGCTTTGGAAGTCTTCAACGGATGAAAGGACAAGGCATACGTTTATGAATGACAATCAGCATGGAATTTAAGGTAGTTTGATATATCACGTCATGCCATAGTTATTGATCGCAAAGTTTACTTACGACCTCTGCATGGAGTTCAGGTATTTTCAATGACATCAGGTCAGTTATTGACCACTACGTTCATGTATAACAATAAGCACAGATTTTAGAGTTATTTACCGAACATAACATCATGTCACACATGCTATTATTCCTTTCACATGGACTGATAACTAAAGACAGGTCAAGCTTGCTGAACCCAGAAGTATTAGAAAATGTTTCAAAAAAACAATAAACAAAAACAAATGTGGAAAAATCAATGTACATAGTACTGAACAAAATATTAGACAGAGAAAATACGATGGTATAAAATTTAACAATCACGCCAACCTTTTTGAGCCATTACTTACAATGTCATCGTGACACATTTTAATTAATAATGTTGCCTTGCTTCAATAAGCCCTAGCTTGACAACTCCATGGTTGAATGATAATAAACACACACACAACACAAAAAAAAAACACAAATTGCTCTGCTGCTCACTCTTGTGTTCAATGAGTTATTGATTGAGTGTCCGGGATCAAGATGCTAATGTTTTAAACCACCAAAAACAGTCCTATTCAGTTCCTAATATGCAAACTGTAACCATAAAATTGTCACTAAACAGTAAAAAAAAAAAAATAGCAGTGTCAGTTCCAGAGCTTCCCTGTGTTATCTCTATGAATCTGTGGAATGATAGACATGTATAAATTAGGTGAAAGGGCAATTAAATGTGTTATTTAAAAATACAAATGGCTCAATTAATGCCCTTTTACAGTGGTCAATGCCTCACATTCAAACTTTACCAGCCCATAAATGGTAATAGCAATATTTAGGTCACAAAACACTGTAATTTTATTTTGAACTTAAACAAAATCATGAGCCACACTTTAAACAGTTGATTGATTCACATACATGCTACTATTGATTGTCTATCACTACATGCAACTTAGTCAATCACATGTCAGATTTACTTACTGCATGTACAAAAATTCAAAATATAAACAATATAAACAATATCTTTACAGCCCTATAAGTATTTGAACAAAATAGAAAAAGAAATCAATACCAAAGTCACAGAGATCAACAAAATTAAAACCAATTATAGACCTACATTGTATTGAGAACAATCACACTTATAAGAATGCGATTCATCTAATTGCAAAACTACTCAAATTCCACCAAAACACTCTTATCAATAGCAACATGTAAATCTTATTTTTAAACCTTCTCACTTTGTTAGGAAATAGAGTAAAACATACTGTCTTGTGTTCTGAATATAATACACCCATGCATAAACCACTGTGCAAAGTATAATATAACAGATCTCTTATGTAAACATATTGCTACACTGAGCAGAACATCATACCATAATAGTACATTCAAACAAGCTGAGGGTAAGCGTTCACTTTGAATTATGAAGAATTTGATTCAGAGCAAAGATTTTATGAAGCTACACAAAAGACCTGCCTACAAGACACTCGTACGACTTCAATCCAAAATATCAGTTGAGATTGATGTCACCTATGAAAGCTGTAAGCTTATCATGAAAGTTGTCCAAGAGTATCACTGATTACCCTCCTAAATACATCCTGGTGGTTTAATGATGCCGCAACATGACCACTGTTAATATATTCCACTGTGCAACCAGGCCAAATGTCACATGGGCTCATCACATTGTCTCGTGGGACATACGCATCATGCTTTGCTACCAGAAACCGCACCAAGCTGGTATCTACTGGTGGTGGAAAGTTTTGAAGATGCGTTGCTTCATCCATGACAAAGTTCATGAAATCTACCGTTTCTGATTTTGCTGAAAAGTCTTTTCTGGCTTTGATAGTTTTTAGAACTGAGGGTAAGTTTTCAAAAAAAGAAGACTTTAAGCCATTGTAGATATCTTCTTGTTGGAGGTACAGTGTTCGGAATCCACTCTTGTCTAAATTTCTTTTTTCTTTTTCCAGTAACGATTCCAAATCAGAATAATCTCTCACAAAATTTCTTCCGAGACTATCATCAGTAAATTTGGTAAATATAGCTCCACTGATGGGAATATAATCCATTAAATTGTTCCTGTAGTCTTCATTTGAAAGTTGCTGCTCTAAAGTATTCCAACAACAAGCCTTGCTCATCACACCCTGAAGAGAAGATAGAAATCCCATCATTATTTATCCAGTCAGCAATTATCCCTTGATTTAATCTGTTGCAAACAAGTTTGTAAGTGCTGGAACTCAGCAATCATGGTTCCAGAAAACAAGTAACAAGAAGTGATCATACTTCCCAAAGTTCATTAATTAATAAATTAATTACTTAATAATTACTTAATAATTAATTAACAGTATTCCACGATATTGAGTTGTACAAGCACATGAGCTTAACACCAAATTGTTACCATTTGTTTTGTGCAGGTGATACAATGTGTATCACAAAAGAGTCTTTGCCAACCCTCCCAGATTATCTGAGAGTCTCCTCAATACAGGCTGAATCTCCTGTTCGGTGTATGGGTCTCCAAATCTTCCAGATACAAAGGAATGTGAACAAAGTACATGTACATTTTTCACACAAATTTCGGCAGATTTTTGGCATTTTGGTGGGAAAATTGTTTTGAAGCATATTTGAGGTTGAATAGGCGGAGCTCTACTTTGAACAACTTTATTTCAGCGTCAAGAAAGTAAAATGTGCAGGACTGGAAAATATCTGTACCCACACTAAGGATGGTCATTGAAAATTCCGAGGATTGGGCGGGTCTCAATAGCCAAATCTTACAGGGAAAGTATGAAGCTAAACTGGAAATTCCAGGGGAAGTGAGTGCAAGCCAATAACCATCCTTGGTGGAGATCTTTTCTGGAACCACACAATTAGCCTGTTCCACACTCTCGGTCAGTGGGGATGATCGAAAAAGCGGGCGCAGGATGAGTGGGGTTTGGTAAAAAAAGGAGAGGGCGCGGGAAGGGCCGACCGCCCCTCGTTCTCTACCAGACTCCGTTTGTTGCTCGTCGCCCAGCCGCATTTTTGATTGTCCCCATTGACCGAGAGCCTCGAACAGGCTACCAAAAAATAAGCAATCGCCTGGATTTCAATTTTTTTAAATTTTACAACTCTTCAAAGTGCATGTCCATGTGCATTACTGTGTCCTATAATAAAGCAAATAACATTCTGCACCTGAGCAGTACTTTCCCTGACAATGTAACAAAGTAAAGGCAGCACTTGCATCCCACTTCATTTTGAACAAAAGATCATGAATGATAAAACAATCATTGAACTTAGCTATTCTAAATGTTCTGATTTGCCAGTGATTTGCAGTATCGTCAGCATCATCAGTTGATATACTCATCGCTTGCCACTAGCACGTCATGACACTCTGCTAGCGCTCAACCCCGTCCAGTATTAAATTACTAATACATTAATTAGCAAGCTACCTCTGTAAAGACACAGGATGCTGTACTCCATGATAAACAAGGCACAATAGCCAGTGGTTTCGGCCAAGCAGTACATGCAAGAGAAGCCATGTGTCCACCCATTGAGATCCCTGTGATTCCCAAGGGGCCATACCCTTGGCGTTCACACCAGTTTAACAAGACAACTGATTCTAAAATGAGCGCAGCACCCATAACAAATAAGTCTACCACATGTAGAAGGCTGGAACGAAGTTGGTTCTTAGGCTTTCTCACGCCATAGAAGGGATTTTCTAATAGTACCGATGCAATGCCGTGTTCCTTCGCCAAAGGTTTTGCCATTAGATTTCTCCTTCGCCAAAAATGATGATCTCCCGTGCCCGCAAGATGGAGGCAAGCCGGTTTTCGTCCAGTTTGCGGCCATTTTTTTGGCACGATGACCTGAAAGTGAGCTTTTTCGCTTTCTTTAGGTAACAGGCCCGGGAAGTGTTGGGCTAAAGGCGACGTAAATTGTCCTTCTGCGATGTAACAAGACTCCGTTTTCCATGATTTCTTTAGTTCGACAGGACAATGCGAAGGAATAAGATTTCTACATTTTGTTCTATCCGTGACAGTCTTTCGAGCTTCCAACAGGCGTTCATAGACCTTTATATCGCCCCATCCTTTCGAGAAAAATGAAGATAAGATGAATCTCCGGTAAATTATATCACTTTTGCTTGCAAAACACATTTAGAAAGCTGAAGGTACAAGCATAAACGAAAATTTCGACAGCTAAGTGGCCAAGCCTGTTTCTACGCGTCACAAGATAAGTCGATTTGTTATCGTGCGATCAATATTATCAGTCGTTATTATTCGTAATATTATCGGAATATCTCGTGACAACTTTTCCAGCCGATAATTATTCGGTCCCTTACTCGTGATGTGCCGAGTGCAGGAATGCCGTGGGTATGTCAAGCGGATATGACCACCGTGAGTCACAAGTATCCTTCTGCCAAATTCAGGTTTTCCGTAGACACGACAATGGTATAGCCGAGTTGACTGTCCTTGGTGAATCAATGTACTAGCGGCCATGATGTTTTCAGTGAACTTGGCGAAAAACTAGACAAAGCGAGTTCAACATGAGCGTACCGCTACGAGCGAACATCCAGCGGGGAAACCCGGAGAAGGTTTTTGATTTGATCGAAAAAGTTGGAGGAGGAACGTATGGTGACGTTTTCAAGGTTTGTCCTTTATATCAGATTTATTTCCCGCATAGCGTCTGCTTTGCTTAATCTTCAATATTCCAGCCTTGCTTTATTTGATCTTGAAATGTTACTGACCGAAATTAAACCGCCATTTTCAGGCTAGGGTTATTTCGACTGGGGAACTTGCTGCTGTAAAAGTTGTCAAAGTTGAACCAGGCAAGTGACTGATTATGTCTACCGCTTGTTAAGTTTTAGTGGTTATTCTACACTGCACAACACTCTGTTGAATTCAAAGCAATATGCCAATAAGCAATATAACTCAAGAAATCATTTCCTTTCATTTTAAGATCTTTCAATTGTGTGTGTGATCGATCTTAAATTGTGTCATGTCAACAGTTGTCCATTTGATGTTCTTTGCATCAACTCCAAACATGGTATTATTTGTTGTCGACGTTCATCTGAGTTTGTTCCGTTCCGTTTCGTGTTTAGTTGTTTTAAATATTCTTAAATGGATTTGTTCTCTGTTGCTTTTTTTAGTCCATAATTCTTCAACTTGTTGACGTATTTTATGTAAATTATCTGACCCACTCCGCCAGTATGGTCAATATTCCCTCTCATTCGCAAATAGCAAACAGCAAAATGTTACTTTTGATAACTCTACAGTACCTAAGATATATGATATAGGGTAATTAAAAATTGTTTTTTTTTTTAATTTCTTAATCCTGTCTCAATTCAAGTAGAGCAAACCTTGAAATATTTACTATGCACATCAGATCAGGCAGCTTTGGAACTTTAGACAGAATTGAAATAGGGACAAATAAATAGTTGAAATGTTAATGAGTTGCACTCAAAATTAAATGTATTTTTAATATAGGGCAATATGACGTTATGATCAAGCTGGTATAAATTTCCTCTCGTGAACAATGGTGTTAGTCAAGCTTTTTCCTTGGATAGTCATGCAAACAGAAACTGAAAATGGAACCAAGTTTTAATTGCATGCAGTAAAATAAAATTCAATCGAACTCAATCCAGAGATTGAATTCAGTCTGGTTTTATAATAAAAAAGTAATCAGAGTAGCAAAAGATTTCAGGCAATCAAATCTTATGTACTTATTGATTGAAAGGCAGACAGAAAAATACTTGGTTTGAAGTCAGGACATCATGCAGAGAGTGAGTGCAGCCAGTTCTATGTATCCTGACCAAGAGCCAAATGTTTTCAGGTCGGCCCAACCTCACTCAGTCGATAAGCATGTTATGACATGACCTGATTTTGTTGTTGTTGCTTTTTTCTACAACAAGGATGCAGGCATGGCAGCATTTGCTTCACTTCTAGTAGGGTCATGTGGGTTTTTCCAGCCCTATCACTTTGACGCATGGGACCCTCACATAGGACCTTTTTTCTTGTGGTTTTTCAAGGAAACAGCATGCAGGGCTGTACAGGTCATATGATAATATCAATTATTACTGACATTTCTGTTTCTTTTACTCGTTGTTTTGCTTTAGGAGATGATTTTGAACTGATTCAGCAAGAAATTGCCATGATGCAGAATTGTCAGCATCCAAACATCATTCAGTACATAGGCAGCTATATCAGGTACGTTACATGTTGCTGAAGTAACAGGTTTCACACCTAAACAAGTTTGCACCGTCCGAGTTTGTACTGCACCTCTTTTTTGACAGGTCAACAATGGTCCCTCCCTACCCTGTCTTAGTAAGTCTTGATACAAGCCATAAGTTTAAGAAAATCGGAGTTTACCAGACAGCCGCTTTGTTATAACTGACTATTTCTCATTCTTTATGTGTGAATATCCGGGAATGCTGGGGTGAGCTTATTTGGTATTTTGGTGCAAACTTGAAACTCTGGGTGTGAACTTGGATGGTGTAAAATAGACTGATTCGGCTAATATGTTTGCATCCTTGTTACCACCCAATTTACACTATGTGACGATTCATTTGGGAAGATACAATTTATTGTGCAATTTGCCTCATGCAACTGATTGCAAGGGAGTATGTACGAACAGAACAATCGTAACCTCCCAAATAACCTCCCAAATAAATCACATACTTCTGTTGACTGGTGTTTTAAACCTCCACAATTTGTAGGTGACCATTGCAAACCCTTTTAACTGCTTTGTTCATAAATACTGGGTTGTTAATTGTGTTGCTGTTTTAGGAGGGATAAGCTATGGATTGCCATGGAGTTCTGTGGAGCAGGATCAGCTCAGGACATTTATTGTGGTTAGTTATAAAAAAAATTATATAAATTTAAGGAGACAGCATGGCCTTGTGGTGTTGGATGCTTGTCTTGTAATTCGGAGGTCCTAGATGGATTTGATCTTAGTGATCTTGGGTTCAGCACCTTAGTTGCCTTTGTAAATAGCCAACAGTCTGCTTTCTGCCAGTCAGGATTTTTAAGTACATGTTATGTTTATTTCAAATATTTGTTTCAATATTGTGGAGGAGGAGTGATGGCCAATTGTGATATTTATAATTTTTGTATCCATTTATATAATATGTCCTTCCCTAGCTCCTGGAAAACTCCCACGGAAAAAGTACCCTGCTTCTTTTGTGCCCGTTGACATGTAATTAAACTATTGTTTCTTTATACAGTTACTGGCCCTTGTTCTGAGCCTCAAATTTCTTTTATTTGTGTTGAGACACTGAAGGTGTGTATCTAATAATAGTTTTGTCTAAGGTGCACCATTCTTCAAAGTTGTGAATGAGTTTTCCGAAAGAATTGAGAAAGAGAACACAAAAAAGAAAACATTGTACAAGTAGAAGGTTTCCTAGAAAAGAAACCTCGATTAATTGAAAATGCAATAAAACAGCAATTTCAGATATTTGGTCTCCATATAATAAAAAGAACATTACACATTGGCTCAAAGATATCAAAGACAACAATATCTGACTCGAAAGTGAAGAATGATCATCGCAGTAAATTTTCCAATTTAAGCAATTGGAAAGAAGAAGCCTGAAAAAAAATCAGGGCTTCAACGGGATTCGAACCCGTGACCTTCGCTATACCGATGCGATGCTCTACCAACTGAGCTATGAAGCCACATATTGGGAGCGAGGTCAATTAATTGAGTTCATATTTTCCCGTGAGGAGTGAAATGATGTGAAGTACATATCAAATAATTCATATATAAATTAAATAAAATAAATTAAATTAGTAAATANTATCTTCCCGTGAGGAGTGAAATGATGTGAAGTTTATATGAAATAATTCATATATGAACTGCGGTTGTATTGTTCTTGCCATTCTAGCATAAAATTCATATCTTCTTGTCACCGTGTAATAGCATATATACAGTCATGTATATCATAATGGAGAATAGATATAATGATTATCAACCAAATAGTAAAGCTTTTTAGGTTAAAAGTGTTAAAAACATTGAAGTTGTTGATGCTGTTGTTGATGTTATGGTAGTGATAGACTGTTAAAATCTACATTAGCTGCAATATCTAATCATCATACTCGCAATGCCAGACTAAAGCCAATATCAATCTTAGATTTGAACCTTTACACATACTTATTCCATGGGCTATTGAATAAAGTGAACTCTCATCTATATAATGATCTTTACTGGTAAAGCATTCTTGACATTTTCTTTGTATCATAGGGTCTTGCATATCTACATGACAAAAACTTAATGCACAGAGATATCAAGGTAGTGTTAGAATTCCAAAGATTTATGACAAGCTATATAATGAACAAACCAAATGATACTGTTATACCTTACTGCATCTTGTAGAGATCAATGACACAGAAGACTATGTGAAAGTTTTTAAGCTTAAAATGTTCTAACTTGCTCTGTTGTTGTCAATAGACCTTTCCCGCATTCCACTTCAGTGTGTTTGAACGATAGTTCCAGTGAGAGCGAAATTGGGGTGGACATTTTCATATATTTGCTGTATTTTTGTCCACCCTGATCTCGACACGGCACCATTGTTTGTTGGAACACGGGAAAAGTCTATTAGCTTAAAGTAATGTTTAAAAGAGGAGTAGGAGTGTTTTGTTGGATTTAAAACGCAAGGTGCAGCCGAGTGTTTTAAACCAGATAAAACACATCCTGTAAGTTTTTTGAACAGCTTCAAAAACGTTTGCGGTAGATCGCCTCATCTGTAGAATAACCCTTGGGTTTTTTTTTTTTTTCTGGAGAAAATCGGCTGTAAAATTTAGCCGTGTCCTTATCAAATTTAAAGAAACTTGTTAAACATTCATTTCTTTTGTATTTCCTTTATGAATTATTGCTGAGTTTTTGAGTTGGATTTGAAATGTTGTGTGCAATATTTAACATCCCACATGTAACTTATGCTTCTGAAATTGATTCAAGGAAATATGATCATGGTGTTTTAATGCTATGTTATAAAATGTTTTCCTCAGGGTGCAAATATCCTTTTGACATCCCAAGGAAGCATTAAGCTTGGTAAGTAATATTCTAGTGGTACTGTAATTTGTCCCTGTGAAGGACTACCATCTCATCCAGGGGAGGGGAGTTGGGGAGGAGAGAAGAAATACTTCTAGTCGCTTCATGCTACTGAAACCAGAGATAAGTGCCAGTCTGATGGGCCATGTGGCTCATATGCAGACTTCATCTAACTGTAATATATAATTAACCAGAGCACTAGGTTGTAAAGAACTTGAGACCCTCAAAACATGGCCACTGCTACTCGCATGTTGTGATATTTGGTTGAAACATCTTAAAATGTAACTTTTTTTTTACCTCCAACAGCTGATTTTGGCATTGCTGCAAGAATATCAGAGACCATGACAAAAAGAAAATCGTTTATAGGAACCCCTTATTGGTGAGTTGTGGATTAAAGATTTATATTTATAATTAACAATTATTCCATGAGCATGTGTTGGATATGAGATGGTAGGTAGTCAATGACACGTGTTGGCTGTCATCTTTCTCATAATCACTGAGTTTGGTAGATAGCCAACAAGCCATATTTGTAGAGCATGGTATAGTCACTCATAATCCATGATGGCTAAGCCAATGAAATCTCTCAAATTACATTATCCAATGATCCAGTTTTTAATAAAGGATATTGCAAACTGGCGTGAAGATATGAATTTTGTATTTTTACGAACAAGTACCCCAAGTGAGTAAAATATTGTTTTCAACACAAGAAAATAAATAATTCATATCTTCAAGCCACCGTGTAATTTTCTTTTAATTATATGGACAAACTGACCATTTGCACAGACAAATGTGAAAAAGCGAGAAATGACGTCATCAATATCCTCACCAGCGAGGATATGGAAAATACACTACTGGGAACCTGGTGGTAATCTTGTATGCATTTTTTACAAGTAGTATATTTTCCATTAAAACACTTGTGTCTATATTATACAGTATACTGAAGTACTGACAGAATTCATTTCTGGATATTTTTCCGATTATGCCTACAGTGTCACTAACAGAGAAAATCATCTTCTCATTATTATCAGTATTTTTTTTCTTCCCGTATTACAGCTGAGGTACATTGTATGGTGGATCAAAGTTGCACTTTTTATATATTTGTACATGTCTCTACATTATATGGATAATATGAATGCGTTTAAATTCCATTCTCAATTCTCTGTCATTCAAAGGATGGCACCAGAAATGGCAGCAGTAGAGAGATTAGGTGGATATGACTTAAAGGTTTGTATTATTAAACTTTAATATTAAATTTGACTTTTGACAAGTTTTAACTGCAGAAAGAATCCCACTGTGGAGGTACAGATTAAAAACACAAGTAACTGCTGACTCATGCTGTTGCTGTTGTTTTTCTAGTGTGATATCTGGGCCGTCGGGATTACAGCTATCGAACTGGCAGAACTACAACCTCCCATGTTTGATTTGCATCCTATGAGGTAACCACATCAACTTTGGCATTTGATGAACTTTTCACAAACACATACATTCAAAACAGCTGAAGTGCACTGTTAAGCCTTTAGGTCTGTCAATTGTTTTTATTTTATCATTTTAAATGGTGTTGATCAATGTTTTCTTCATTTTGTTTGTGACAGGGCATTGTACAATATAGGAAAAAGAAGTTTTGTTCCACCCACATTGAAAGAAAAGGATAAATGGTAAGTATTGTTCATAATCATTACAAGAAGCAAAGAGGATTTGGCAAACAGCAGGCTCCAACTTACCACTACAAGTATTAAACCCTCACAGTGGGTCTCTACTTAAGAGTGTGAATGAGTTCAGCCAACTGTTATGAATAGCCTCTCAGAAATGAAAGGAGATTGTCTGTGATTTACTACTCTTTAATCCAGGAGCAGGGCTCGAAAAAAGTGCTTTTCCTGCCGGGCAAATAACTTTTTTTGCTCACTTGCCTGATGGTCAAGGGTCCAGGCAAGTTGTCTGCCAGCAAAATAAAAGATTGAAGTAAACTAAGACTTGCCCAGCCCAAGCAAAATTTGAGAGCTGATTGTCCAAAAGGGCAAGCTGGAATTAAAGTTTTTCTTTTAAGCCCCAAGGAGAAGTAACAATACAGAGACAAGTCTTTTGCCTTTCACCATATGATGTAGCCTGCGAGCAGGCTCACCTTTGTGTTACACGCGGGAGCAGCAAAGAACAAAGCGATGCGGTGGGAAGGAGTCTGGTGAAGAGACCCCAAGAAAGTGAGCCTGCCCTGATCTCTGTAATTTTTTTATTTCTGCTTTGTCTGAGCGAAGTGAAATACCATTGGTCGAAAAGCGGGAAAGGCGAGAAAACTGTCAATCTATTATGTTTGATAAGGAGAGATTAAATCACCATGGAGTCAGTAATTTACCACACAATAAAAAACAAGTTGTCCACATTTGGAGTCAGAGGAAGAGTTGAGTGCATGTATGACTGATGTTTTAACAAAGTTCCTGTCTATTTCTGGTTAAATTTCAAACTAAAGAGGGGCAGGAAATAGCAGTTGAAAGTATGTTAATGAATCAAGACGTACTTGCCGTGTTGCCAACTACATATGGGAAGAGTTAAATATTACAAACATACGTGATCGAAACAACACAAAGGCGTTTGCCTGTTTACCAGCATCGTCAAAGACCAGATTGCCAAAGCAAGATTACTTGGAGTCAAATGTGTATCCTTAGTAGACATAAACTTTGACAGTTTTTCTTTAGCAAAACTTTATCAACAGCGGATATCGCACTTACATGTTGTTATGAAAACGATTTTACAATTTTCCCAAGAAATCTGAGCTGCCAAAGTTCATACTTCCAGTGAAAATTAATTGACTTATTCTTTTCTGCGGTTTCTGGGGTGGAAATAAAAAATTTGTAGAGATCAGTGCAGGCTCACTTTCTCGTCTCACGGCTTCGCCGCTCAATTTCGTGCTCCAACGCTTGTGCTCCCACGTGAGCCTGCTCGCAGGCTACCTGTGATGCTTAGACTGTTTCTTTAGTACATGTTGATTGTGATGAAACTTCATTCCAATTTACAGGTCACCAGAACTTCACAGCTTTATCAAATCAGTTCTGCAGAAAAATCCAAAGAAGCGTCCCCCAGCTGACAAAATGTTAACAGTTAGTTTTATTATTGTATCAGATTATTGGCAAGAGCATTGTCTTCTGTGCAGTGTATAAATCATTTGTGTGCACTGGTTATGCAACACTTTCGAGTGGTATACCTGGAAGATCCCACGAGGCACTTGTATCTTCTTGGTATACAGACAAGCTTTTAGGAGAGTGTGTACATGTACACCAAGAAAATACAAGTAACAGGTGGGATATTCCATGGTATGCCACAAGAGATTGTTGTATGGCTATTTTATAATGTGCCAACCCAATCAATGTAACATACACACAATGCATGATAGGAAGGTTTGGTGTAATACTGTCGAATATGCAATGGCTTTCCTGTATTTTGATTGGCTGTATTTTCTATGGCATGATATAAAATACAATTAGAAATACAATTAAAAGCTAAAAGATCTCAATTTATGCTAAAAAAGCCTTTTCAGTCTACCTCTAAAAGTGTTAAAACCACCCCCATCCAATATTTTCATCCAATTTTGTATGTCCAAATAAGAGCAACAAAGCACGCAAAAAATAAGGTGCTCTAAAAAAGGAAATAAATTGAACAGGTTACTCATTAGGTGTCAAAGCTATTATTTCATATGTGAAATTAAGTATTGAAATTGAAAATATGGAGTCATTGGTGCTTACTCTAGTTACCATTTGCAATTTTTTTTTAACCACAGGTGATGAAACTACACAATGTAACATGTAGCCTTACTTTAACAATGTCTATATCTCTTCTACTGCAGCATCCTTTTTGTTGCCATGGTTACACCCACGCAGTGATACAGGATTTGTTAGACTTATTCAAGAGAAAGTCAGATAAGAAAGGCCGTGTTGGAGAACCAGATGATGATGATGACGATGATACAGCCCCTGTTGACGAGGTAAAGTGAGGTCAATATTGTATGCAAAATTGAGTCAAGTGCTGTACATTATCATTATGAATAACAGTACAAAGAACCATGAGACAAAGAAGATGAAGACTGCATTTGACCTGACTTGCCAAAGCCAATGCCAAAGCTTATTGCCAGCCTCCTTAACATGAAATCTCTAGAAGTAATGCCCCTCCCATCAGATGAGAAGCTACCTTGGAAGCCCTATGGCTAGCCCGCATAGCAGACGTCCCCCTGCTCCTTATTTTATTTGCACTCACTTGCGGTTTCGTTGCCATCAGGTGCTTTGAAATGCCTGCTAAATGTATGCAGGCTACCCTATGGCATAAATATAACATAATTTAATGGTTGGTAAAATATTTGTACAGTATTTAATTGAACAGGAATGTTCAACAGATGCTCTAATTTTGTTGCAGAATGTTCAGGTCTTAACAAGAATACGATCCAGAAAAGTTCCTGATAATAAAATTCAAGAGAGACGCAGTATATCAGGTTCTGAAGGAAAATGTAAGTAGGACTGTGAGATATTTAAATTTAAATAGGAGAATACAATAATACAATAAATAGAAGAATGCAATGTAATTGTATTATCTGTGTCCCCAATTAGTGCTATTGGCACTAGACTGACCAGACACTTTTAATAAAAGATATGTATGTATGTATGCATTTTGATCTAGCTAAAGCAGTTCTTTGTGGAGCAGTGTTTTAAAATTTATCTTATTGTGTAAAGTTTTTAATAATTTCATAAAATTCCTGTTTTAACGAGATGTGACCACCACATTACTACAATATTACTGTTCCTAAAGCTGTATGTTTACAGTCGTAATCATATGTTTTTGTCTGCAGCAGTAACCACACATTAAGATTTAGCCATTTAGCCTCTTTAAATTTAGAATTAGAGATAGATGATTCCATTTTTCTGACTTGTGTACAGTAAATGTTTTGCATATCTCATGATGTTGTTTGTTTTATAGTGGATGGAGTGCAAGTAGAGCCAATGGTGAGCAGGGAAACAAGACCACAGCATCAGGTAATACAAGCACCTCCTTAGTTTTAGAACTACAAGTACAAGATTAAGTACGAGTGCAATTTTCAAATTTCAAACCAGTGACACAACCAGAGCCCTCACTCTTCATGTTGGTTTTAGGTAGAGAGAGTAGCTCGTGGGGTGAGTTGGGTATGTGACATCATAATGTGGTGCCTGCAAACTAGAACTGTGAAAGGCATTTTTGTACAAGACCTCGAACTTATACTCAGATCTGAAGTCCCCTATAGTAATGCTTGCCCCTTTGGTATCCAAGTGGAGCTCAAATCAGGGGATAGTATGACCCCGTACAAGTGTCTTTTTCCAATTCTTCAGCCCAAACATTTTTATCGTATTTGTGTTGATAACTACTGATATTCATTATTTATTTAATTAATTGTCTTTGTCAACAGACAGAAAATGGACCACAAGAAGTACATAATGGAGACATCAGTATGAACAAGTAAATATGAATTATGAATTCAATGCAGTTTTCTTTTTTTCCTAAGTTTCATTTGTATTGAAAACAAGATGACTGTTCCCTGAATGTTCATTATTTTAGTGATGATGACAGCGGAACAATGAAAGTTCTCACTGAGACAGATGATGAGCCCCCACCCCTGCCCCCTAAGGTTTGTACTTCTCCATGCACAATACATATACCAGTGGTTACATTGACACTTACTTTACCATTGCAACTTGTCAAAGTTGGGATTAATTTGTAACATTTTCTTGGGAGATTAAAAAGCCTGTGTATGTTTCGTTTGTTGTTTCAAAAGTGGAAAGTGTTGATTTAGGAAGGCATTCCATTTGTCCCTTTATGTTACTCCGTGCCCCACCCCCATGTTGCTATGAGGTTGTCAATCTCTTGTAAGTGGACACCTAGATGCTAGTGTGTTAGCATACAGGAAGTTTGACTCTGACTAGTTATTTAATTTATGGTAGGACCTCACCTTATGATCATGTTCTTGGTAGTACTAACAACCTTGGGTGAAGTGGAAATAATTATAATGGCACATATTTGAAGTTGCCTCAAATATACTACCTATAGAATCCCCCAGGACAGAGGCCCCTTGAAAAGAAGCAGGAAATTAAACCAATGGAAAATCTTTGACTAATGTGGGATTTGAACCCATGACTAAAATCAGATCACTGTCACTCTAACCCACTTAGCAACTCAACAAGGCCAGCAGGAGAGTACATTACTAACACCCACCTTAGTGTGTGTTTTGGTTCCAAGTTGGTGGTTGGCTTCATGGTGTTCCACTGTATTTACAACAAGATTATAATACCATGTTTTTGCGCTTACAGTTAAACAGGAATTCTCATTACCAAGTTCCACAAGCAAGTATGAAACCAGTCCCTCCTCCGAAGCCAATGCACTTGAAGGTGTCACGAGTTGCCAGTGCTCAAGAGGCTGGACGACACTCACCACAGGCAAATCCAAGGAAATTATCAGACGTAGACGCACACAACAGGATTCCACCTCCTAGCGTACCTCCTCCGGTAACTTGTGTTCAGTTGATGATAAAATTTAATTGGTTTTCAACTATTGGTGTCAAACAGGGGAAAATACATTGCCTTGGAAAAGGTGAAAAAGCTGCGACCATGTAGACCAGTGATGGGCTTGATACAGAAAGGGACAACTTCTATCACAAGAAATTTAAGAAAAAGCATTTTCCTGTTCAGGCTATTGATAGTGGGCAAAGTGATACATGCCTACATTGAAGCCCAACAACAGATGTCCTGTTTAAAAATGGCTCATTACGTGTGAGAGGTGTTTCTCATCAGGGTTTCATACCTCATTAGGAGCTGTATCAAGCTGATGCCTGCAGTGGGGCCTTTTCTGCACACCCTAAATGGCACAGGGGAATCCTGAATTCTCAAACCTCCTAGGGCAGTGAAAAATTGGTGCAAACAATCCATACATTTGAAGAATCTAGGGTAAATTCCCCCTATATTTTTGCAAGGGGAACAAAAATTGCTTTGATTAATTGGGAGATTGAAAAAATTAAGGACTTGAAAAATCAGGATTCTGCTGTATTTTACAAAGCTGTTTCTCTGTGACATAAAATGTCAACCTTAAACAAAAACTCAATGTTAAGCTGGGTGAATAATAAGTCAATAATAAAAAATAAGTGCCTTCTTGCCTCCTTTGCCCCTCAGTAACACTCAGGCCTGGGCATCTACATTTGAGGAAATGTTGAGCTTGTTCCTAAAGGAACAGACAGGAAACAAGAACAGGAATTTTCATTCCTGATCATGTAAAACAGTATTTTCTCTTATCATTTAGAAACCTCCTGTTGGAGCTCGAGCATCTGATCCAGGAAGACTTTCAGCTGCAAAGAAGGCGTCTGTAAGTGCATATGGAAAACTTGCTTAGATGTCAGGTGCAAGGTCTGAACAGAAGCCTGGTGGAATTAGGGAGTGGTATATTGTGGGTTGGGGCAATTTGGGGAGGAAGAGCGTTGAAACTATGAAAAAGAACAGGAAAACAGAGACAGGCTGCGAGGGTGTGGTTGAATGGAAAAGGGATCAAAATAAAACCCCAAACAGTTACAGTGTGTCTGTGTTGGATTTCTATCTCCAGTTTAAGTGAATCTTAAGTGACTGAAATTATTTATATAATGTTTTTGTACAAAGATGACAAAATTATCGAGTGATCTTAGTGATACTGTTGGAGGCCATTCAAAAAAGTATTACCATTGTTATAATTATTGTTATGTCAATATGAAGCCATTGCTCTCTTTTGGCCCCATTTTAGCAAGTTACAACATGTTTTTCAAAGATTTTCAATGAATGTCCTCTTCATATCTACTGCACTGGACTCTGGGTGGACCCTCACTCAGGAGGTAATAAGAACTTAGGGACATTACTAAATACTGTTGAACCTCCATTAATGGCCGCCTCCCTACAGTGGCCACCTTTCTACAACGGCCACATATTTACGTCCTAGTCAAGAGATTTGTTCTTATTTTAACCTCCCCACAATGGCCAATGACTCTGACCCAGGGTGGCCATTGTAAAGAGGTGAACTGCACATAACTGGGAAGGTGTCTTTCTGTTAAGTTTCATACTTGTGTAGTTACATGTTAGATGTATGATTCTTGTTTGATTCTCGTTTGCGTTTGAGTTATAAGTGTTGAGTTGCTGACTCTAACTCTTGTGACATTCTGAGTATAACTCAAAACACCATCTTACATACACGATATGCTTACATCCTACACTCCATCACGTCAACTAGGCTCATTATCCAAACATCATCTTTTAACTCCATCTTATATCTTGAAAACATATGGTGCAAGATTCTTCTATAGAATGTTCTACCATTTGAAATAAATAGTTTGTCGGTGTCTGTCTTTAAGATTAGACTCAAAACGTTTCTTTTTAAAAAAGCCTTTTTGCAATTTATTTTTGCACTAATGTTTTTAATTTTTAGATTATTAATTTTTCAGATTTTCGCTGATATTATAACGCGTCTTTAAATATTAGGATACTGGCGCTATATAAATCTATTTATCATCATTATTTAAAACTCAATCTCAAACTCAACTCATGAAAATTGTAAACACATGATCACACAGGTTTTAGGCATGCCTTACAAAGTGTGGCAGTATAGATGTTGCAAAGATGAAGCTGTACCAAAAAATATAAGTTTTCAACCAACAGCTGACACATAAGTTGTTAATGCCCTAATTTGGTGGCAAACATTTAATGGCACTTTGTGTGAGGATTAGAAGTTTCATTTTAGAACAAGAACCAAAAAGTGTGTAAGTTCTTTGCTTCATTTGTCTTCTGTAGAAAAAAACATCATTATAGGAGCAGAGGAAGGCGTCTATTCTTTAAACTTCAGTGAAAAGTTACATGAAGCAGAAATGGAACAGGTAACGATGTTATTGCATCATGCAGGGTTATATGTCATGAAACTTGAACGTCCAAAGTTCTCTTTGCAAGTAATGTAAAACAATTCCTATTGATTTGTAAGTTTGGTTTTGTTTTAGGTTTGTGCTAAAAGGTGTACGTGGTTGTCAGTGTTTCAAAATGTGATGGTGTCACTTCAAGGTAACCGTGATCAGAAACTTAATTCTTGCCATTTGTTTTCATATAGTTCTTTTAATGTCAGTTCTAAGAATTTGTGGGTAAATTAAGACAACATCTCTTAGTTGATTATTTTCTTTATTCTCATCATTTGTCTTCTTGTCACTGTATTAAAATTGTTAGGAGATTTTAGCTGATGATCATACGTAATCTTACTTGGGTTTGCAGGGTCTCCCAGCTGTGTGTATATGCACAATTTAGAAACTCTTCATGACAGACAACAGGCATTCTTTGCCACAGTAACAAGGTAAGTGCCTCAAGAACAGTCACTGGAATATCTTCATGCCTACTTTGTAGGGAAATAACTCTCCTATTTAAATCAATAGGAAATCATTGCTGACATTGTTGTTTACATCTGTAATTGAGAAATTCACTTGATACCATATCGACAGATTTAGCTAGAAAAAGCATGCAAAATATAAAGTTTTAAAGTTTCAGTGTACTTCAAAACATGTACAGTCAAACCCTCTATTAACTGCCACCTCCCCGCAACGACCTCCTGTACTGTCTACAGCGGCCACATAGTTTTGTCCCAGTTGAGAGATTTATTTTCATTTTAACCTCCCTCCAACGGCCACCTGTCCACAATGGCCAGTTAACTCTGTCACCAGGGCGGCCATTGTGGAGAGGTTCGACTGTACTTGGCTCACCAATGTAAGTGGGGCCACAAGAACGAGAACAAGAAAAACATGAGTGAAGTTCGAAAATTTATTATAGAAAACTAACATACACATCACAACATTTTACTTTATAATAAATGTTGAAAATAATATTTTTTTCTCTTAAAGGAACAATAGAATTTCAGAAACAAGAGGCTGCTCAAAGTGCTGTATTGGTAAGGCAGTTTAATCTGAACCCCTTAGACAGAAAACGACCCTATAAAGATGTCGACTACAGTAATCAAAAGGCCCTTTTGGCCTGCCTCGTGTCACGTGTTTTAGAGTGCGAAGAAATTCACCGCTAAACCAAACAAGTGTAAATTGCAAGAGTAACGCTAGATAAAATAAACAGGAGCTCATTTTTCACGTCCGTTTCCTTTAGGAATACAATTCTCGATGTGGCCTGATCTGAACGTTATTGACAATTAATTCTGTAGTTTTATACCTGTTTGCTTATTCTCGGAAAGTGTTTACTTCATTTTCCAAATAATAGGGTAGTGTCATTATTCAGAATTAAACCAGGTCAGCTTTGGAGAGTAAAACTACTTAATTGTGTACATTATAGATAACACTGTCAGATTTCAGCTTTCATTGTTTCATTCTATTCTTGTTAGTGAATAACCCGTACAACAGTCAAGTGTACCTTTGTGTGGCAGTTCAAAAGAGTGTCTTTCTTTATCAGTGGTATGAACCGTGGGGAAGATTTATGAAAGTCCAGGTAATCTTCAGTTCTGTGCTAATACAGATATTCCACGATATTATGAGTTTCACCAAGTTATCACGATGCCTAGATATGGTCATAAAGTCTTTATGATATCCTGCGATATACGTAGTTTTACCATATTTGGAAGTACGCTAAAGAAGGCTTCTCCCACAGCTGATTTTTGCAGCTCGGTGTTTTCAGAGTGAAAACGCATCAAATGTTTTCCGTCTACACTATGTCGGAGAAATTTGAAAATGCAACAATCACCGATCATTTTGGAGTTGTACTTGAGGAAAACTCTGGCGGGGAAATAATATAATTATCGTCATGTCATCGTTTTCGAAAAGCGTCGGTTTTTAAAATGCTTTCAATCCATACTAAAAAGTAAAGCGGGCGTTTTCAAATTCCTCCGGTTTCAAGAGCGTTTTCAAAAAGCTCCGTTTTCGTGACGGATTGGTTTGGACGGCAGGCCTAACCGTAGAAATAAAGCTGCGTTTTCAAATTTTTCCGGCGCAGTGTGGACGGGTTCTAAGCGTTCATATTGGCATTTCTTTTGCAGTATTATGATGTGGATATTCCATCACCGCCTCCACTCTTTGAGCCACTCATAAAGCAAGATCTGGAATATCCACTGATATGTGTTGGAGTAAGACAACTGTAAGTACAGTGCTCAACTTAAGTTGACCTCTGGAAGTAATTCTTAACTTATGTTGCTTCTCTTTTTTAGATCCGATGGTAGCCTTCATTTTGAATGCGTTAATTTGAATTCTCTGTCCAACTGGTTCACGGAACTACCTGAAGGTAAAGTGGTCGGCTCATGTTGTCTTCGTTCTGTTGTGTTAGAGCGGTTTTTCAATAGAGTAGACTATCTCGAAATCAAAACCAAAGTTATCACTTTGTTCAAATTAGAGCGCTTTTCACTTGAGTGTCGAAAAGTAATTGTTTGCTTCAACTACGCTACACGATTGGCTTAACGCACCACTTTCTCATCCAATCAGAAGTTAAACCAAAACCAATCTTGATTCGCTCGCACGCGTTTTCCCGCGCTCTCAGCTACGTGTATTTGCTTCGAGTTTTGATTGGTTCTCTGTGCTGTCTGTGTCCATTGTGACTGGCTAGAGTGATCAGTTTGGGTTTGGTTTTACGACACTCAATAGAAAACCGCTCTTTAGGCAGACAATCCGTTGAACCAATCAAAAGTCCAAGCAAACATGTCGCTGACGCAAAGCGCGGGAAAACGTGTTCAAGCATCTTGGCTTTACTGCTGATTGGACAACAAATTTTGGCGCGAGTTTTTTAAGCCAATCGCGAAGCGAAGTTATGCAAATGAAATTACGTTCGACACCTAATTAAAAACCGCTCTATTTCTTACCGATTGCACATTCAGAAGTCCATTTGAATTTTATACTCTTGCTGAAAATAGCTTTTTGACTGTTGTTCTACTATTTATTTTGTTTTTGTAGGAAAGAAGCTAGAGGTTGATACAGTTGACCACCTGGAAAAAGACACCGTGCTTGTAGCTTTTAATAGTACCGTTCCTTTTACTCTGCCAGTATTAAGTACCTTTACAGGGTTTATGATAAGTTAAACACTTTCACCTCCATAGTGTCAACGCTCAAAATTCAATAGCTTTCATTTGAATGGTCACACACTAGCGTTTCATCCACAGACGTAAAAGCTATTAGAGTCATTAAACAACAGTGCGAAGGAATCTATTGTTCTGAGGCGGAATCCAGTAAAGTTTCCATGTCTTTAAGCAAGACACTTTACTCTCCTGTGTTTCAAGTCATCCAGATAAATAAATGCGCATCAAAAACCTGTTTGGTAAACGTAACAAATCTTCTGGAAACTTGCAGTAAAGTAGTTTGTTTTGTTCTGTTCTGTTTTTGTTTGTGTGTTTGTTTGTTTTTTTATCTTAGCTTTGTTATGTATGGAGATGTAATGAGGATTTAAATGAGAATGAGATGTTTTATCTTCCTTTACCTCGCGTGATCAGATATGGTTAGGTTTGTGAATCTTGATGGGAAGACCAAACAGTTTAGAAGACAAATGTCAGAAATTCATTTTGACATCAAACCAGAATCTGTAGGTGAGTATACAGGGCGGTGATAAAATGAACTTAACTCAAGCGTTTCCTTATGAAATGGCTGGGACAAGATTTTATGTGTCCTTGAAAAGATAGAATATCACTCTTGGCTTGCGTAGGGCGCGGTAGCGCGCTCGTCTCTGGATCGAGTGGTCCGGGTTAGAGCCCTAGCCGGAAACATTGTGTTTTGTTGGGGGCTGTGGGGTAACCTTGCGATGGACCAGCATCCCATCCAGGGGGGATTAGATATACTCCTGGTCGCTTCATGTTACAGCAACCGGGATAAGCTCCGGCCTGATGGGCCACTTGGCTCTTATACAGACCTTACTTTTACCTTGACTAAGTCCTTGAATGTTTAGTCCCAAAAATGTTACTATGAGCCTTGTATTGTAGTCTCACAGTTTTCCAAAGGTATCATCATGAAGTTAGTCCCTTACAACCTGTTGTTGTTGTTTTTCAGTTTGTTTACAAGGTAGCGTGCTTGCCTTTCATGAACATGGATTACAAGGGAGAAGTCTTCACAGTGGCAAGGTAGGACATTCTTTTGTGATACTGACTTGTAATGAATAAATTGAAACTTTGCGTGACGACCTCAACAGCAACTGCGAATATCTGCATTGCGTGACAGGGACTAACTTGCAAGCTGTCGTTTGTTGCTTAGTCACGATGTTTTCTAATGCAGTACATTTTTTCATTAGATCAACGTCGAAATGAACGACCCTCGGCGCACGTTTAGACTTCTGGGATGTGAGAGGTGAGAAAAAAAAAATGAAAATCACAAACACGACAGTCAGTTATGTCTAGGTAGTCGGTACTAATCTCATATTTTTTCCCCTTTTTCACCCAGCATTGCAGTGGTTGAAAGTAAACCTTCAGATCATCCGAATGCGCCATGTAATCTCTACATTTTGGCCAGCAATAGAAATCAACAGAGATGAATGATTGAATCTCCTCTGGGGAACTGGATATCAACTATGGTGCATACCCCGTGGGGGATCTCTAATCCCCGCCGGGGCAAATTGTTCTAGTATAACGTAGCCAATATAGTAACGCAATCTACTTTGAATTAGATTTGTTAAACATCGGTATTAATATCGGGTTTATTATGTTATGGTCCTTCGTTTTCAACTTTTGTAACGTGATGGGTTGAAAGTATTTAAATAATAGAATTAAGCCCGAGGCTACCATTTCAATTAACATGGGGTATTTGTCTCAGTGATCTTCAATGACCAATATTTTTGAATTCTTACAAGGCTGATTTAATAAATAGAAGTCCTAAAGATATGAAGGAGCAGTGTCACGATAGAGTCAGAGAGGAGACTAGGTCCAAGGTGACACGTAAATGGAATGTAGAAAAACGGCCTTCTGATTGGTCCGTGTGGTCACGGCTCCCTAATTGATTATGCCCTATATTGGCGCCTTTGTACACGTTGTACAAGACTACCTTCAAATCAAAGGAATTCTCGAACTACTTGTTTATAAAGGTAAAAAAATACCCAAAAGGTAATATTCAACCAAAAAGGAACACGAATTGTTGACATTGGAGAGGATCGAGACGTATTTTCATGGTAGCCTTCTTTGCAACCGTCACTTGGGTCGTCACGCAGTGCTTCTCCCCACGCGTTGCGTGACAACCCTACTGTATGCTGCGAAGGAGACCTGGGGTCGTGCGTGGCGTGAAAATTTTTATCGGAATCTTTTTTGAAAGATTTGGACCGAGTGCTTCATCTGTAAATAAGACAGTACCTTACAGATAAATAGCAATTGTTCATTTTCCTTTGACGAACATGTTTCATTTTTATAGTATATATTTCAAAGTTGTCTTAAGTTGTCTCAAAACAGTTTCCAAGCTGGAAAGAATTACCAAGACTTAGATTTTGATGGGCATTGTAACCACCATTTATCAGTTGACGCTACAATCATATTATCAAAAACCTGCCCAATCATTGGTGAACACGTTGTTATGTTTTTGGAAACTTAAAGGTGGCTCTGAACCCATGTACAGAATGTTTTTGAACTTTGCCAAAAGTTGCGTCTTATCCTGCTTATCAAAATTTAATAATATGTTTAAAAAATTCACCGTGCCGTTTTTGAATTATAAGCCCCCAAAGCTATAGTGAAGGGTGTTAGCAGGTCATACTGTTGCTATGGTAAGCCATTGTGTCACGAATATTATAACAACGTGTTAGCCAATGATTGGGCAGTTTTTTGATACCATGATTGCAGCATCAAGAGATAAAGAGTAGTTATAAATGACCCATCGAAATCCAAGTGCTGGAAACTGTTTTGAGCCACGTTAAAACGAAAGAAATCTCTAGTATTGCATTGAAACAAAAATACAGACGATAAGCCGTGAACAATTGGTGAAGATTTAGACGGATTTTCTGTTCATGTTTGACTAGAAAAGAGTATTTTTTCATCACAATACAAGCTAGCTAAGAATAGATCATATTTTTAAATGATTATCTTAAATGACCTAGGAAAACTGTAAACTTTTAAATAATGAATAATTAACACACTGTGACATGTCAGTTGAGCTTTTGCATAAATTTTTCTAGAATTCTTGAGTCACTTTTGATGAATAATGTCAATAAATATTGACTGTACTTTTAATTAATGTACAATAAATCTGTTTGGGCAATATATTTTTACTGATAATATGTACATAGCAGTGGCAGCTTAGTTATCTAATACAATAAACGTTTAATTCAAACTGTGATTTTCTTGTATTATAATTCTGGAGACTTAATTTGTCTCCGCGTCGCCTCTGCAGAAACTTTGGGAGACTAAGTACAAACCTTCAGCACTAAGATTTCTGGGATTGTTCGGGTACTAACGCTAGCTATGATTGGTTAATAGCTACCTTTGAACACACCTCTTCCTAGCTTTCTAAAGTTACAGGTAGAGCGAATTCACGCTCTCTATTTTGGACCTGCGTATAAGCTTCCTTTATCTCACAATCACTATGAAAGTCCAGGGTACAAACAGTATCACAGTCGGGCCCCGTTCACACTACGTCGGAGGAATTTGAAAACGGAGCTTTATTTCTCCTGTTTGGCCTTCAGTCCACACGAATCCGTCACGAAAACGGAGCTTCTCGAAAACGCTCTTTAAACCGGGGGAATTTGAAAACGCCGGCTTTGCATTTTAGTGTGGACGAAAACGCCGTTTTCAATTCCTCCAGCGTAGTGTGGACGGGGCAACAATAATTATAGACGTTAACACAGATAACACTAAATTCAAGGTTGAGACTCGTAGGCACCACAACTACCACTCTGGGCACGACTCTGTTTCTAAGGAATTCTTCTAACTTTGGTAAACTATTCTTGATTTGAATCCTCGGGACCCTCGCCTTTGGCTACCTTTGTTTCTTCCAAGTTCTCCGGGTTTCTTCCCTGTTGGCAACTTATCTTCGCCTCATTTTCCAACAAATTTTGCGTTTAACAACTGTGTTTCCTCTGGGGACGACATTGCTTTATTTCGCTGCTGCAAAGCGAACTGGCGCATGCGTTAAAAAGTCCAACGAAATGCCCAGCGAGCGCAAAGCATGATGGAAGCAAAGCATCAATGCCGTTATGCAGAGCGCAGATATCCTTATCATTTTAGACAGAAGTACAGCCATCCTTTTCTTATCTCCTGAAAAAAACCTTTAAAAGCTTTTTAAATTCATAAATCCCCGTACTGGGTCGGTTATTTGTTTCGCACGTGCAACAGCGCGCGCGCTAAAAAATCGTTGCTTTGTCGATTGTCTGACATCATTCTCATTTGTACATAACAAACATAGAGCACGAGGAAAGTCGGCTGTAAACTTATTGGAGAAATCAATTGACTAAATACTCATTTTAGGTGTTTGAAAATGGAAGAAATCAAAGTTAAACGGAAAGGGTAATTTGTTATAAAGTAATTTTATTAAGCTGACCAGGAGTTTTACCAGGAAAACTACATTGTTTTAACTCATTTGAACTCTTATAGGACGAGAAAGCGAAGGAATGCTAAAAACCGCAATAACGATACTCTCCAAACGAAAGCAACTGAAGACTGGGAGGCCTCGGTAAGTTTCAAATTTATTTATCTTCGTTATGCTTTGTCAACCGAAGAAAGAGTGTTTTTATTTTACTGCTTTCAATTTAACTTTTAGGAAACAAAACCAAAGATAGAAAGGGTCTGTGCGCCAGCTGATTACAAAATAATGGAGGGTAGGTACTGAAGATATTTTTTTAAGAAAGGAAGTTAAATCCAACTCGTTGGAAAAGAATCGAAAGACGCTTTGAGATTATAAGTTGCTCAGGTTTTTGCGTGATCTTGTAGTGAGTTCTTTGCAAAGATAAGGATCATAGTACATCTTCGATTCACAGAAAGTTTGCAACTTTGTTTGCGGAATGACAAGTCGTGCAAAGTATTGTGAGTTTGTTGCTCCTTTAAGCTTGAAGCTGTTAGTCTATGCATGACACCTCGAAACAGGCTAAAAGAGACAAAAATAAACCTTGAGGTCCACACTGTATCTATCATCACTGAAATTAAACTGTCAATCGTTAAACAGCCCAAAAATTAACCATTAGCTGTCAGAAAGCTATATTCAGTTTTACCATCATCTGTCGAAGGTAATACTCCAATGAGCCTCAAATTAGATCTTTTCTGCGGATAGAAAAATTCCCGACAAGCCCTGCAACTGCCTCGAACAATCAGAGCATGACCGAATCTGTACGCTTCATCAAACCTTACACCGCTTTTTCGCTATGACTGGCCTCTGAAGGCAGCCAAAGCCGCAGACGTGATATTACACAACTTGATTTGAGATACTGCTTCTCGAGGCGCTGCCGGCCCTCTCAGTGGTTAAAACTTAAACGTCTTATAAATGTAATTCAGGTTAAAAGAATTGGTTAGCTATTTCCTAACAACTACAAGCAATTCAACCCTTCTGCGTCTCCTTCATTTAGTTGAATTTCCATTGCAATTACGCAGAAAAGTGTCTTTGCTCGTAGCGTTACAGCTAGGTTGCAGCAACATCTTGCGCAAAGTTGAATTCGCATCTATACTTTGCGCGCTGCATTGTACTCCCAAAATACATATAACAGCTTGTGTTCAGCTGTGATTCTACTTCTGAATATTCGTGCCATTCTGCGTGCAATATGCAGTGTCGGGGTAAAACGGCAAAGGAGATCAGTGTGCGAAAAGTTGCACCGCTCTGCAGTAACACTAGTTTTCAACGCGCCATGAAAAATTGCACTGTTTCCGTGTTATTTAGAGCTCATTGAAGATCCAATGAATGAAGAGAGGGAGCGAAGACGCAAGGCTATTGAGAAGTGGACGGAAGAATCTCATGAGGAATTCGCTAATGGGTAAAAGCAGATTACGAGATCGCTTGCGTTTTCTTTTCAGAATTTCTACTTTTTTTCTTTATCTTTCAGTTTCCTTATTTGTGATCCTTTATGTTTTATTTTATTTGCAGGTTGGCAAGACATGGAAAAAGATTTCGTAAGCTAGCCGACCCTCTGCCAGACATTGTACGTATGCCGTTCTGGCAAATTCCAAAGAGATGACATTTCGAGCGAATCCGACGAAATTTGACCTCTGATCGAAAACATTCGCTCTTCGAATTTGCGCTTGAGATAAATTTATAATATAGAATTACACTTCAGGCCCCAGTTGTTCGAAGGCTCAATAACGCTATCCACCGGATAAATCGCCATCCAGTGGATAAGTGTTAACAAAACAAACCACGCTATCCACTTGATAGTGATTTGTCCGGTGGATAGAGTTATCCACCTTTCGAACAACCCGGTCCTGTATTTTATTGACGTGGGCCTTCTGACGAAAATGCAGTATAACTTTTTTTTTTTTCCTTGGGATGTAAAATTCTTTCATATACATTTCAGAACATTTCCTAAGGCAGTCTGATAGGGTGATGGAAAGATGAAAAAGGCAACGTATGCTTTGTATTCACTGGCGCCTCAGTGTTTGAGTCGTTTTTGCTTAGTTTTCTTGCCTTGCGGCTTTCCAATGCTGCCAACAAGGTTTCTACAAGGCCGTGACCTATCTTTCACTTTCCTTACCGATGCTTTTTCCGGTCACCTATACTTCGCTCTGTGAGTTTTAACAGAGCGTTCAGGCTTCGAATAGCCTTCGAACAGTTTCTCGGCGAGGACGGAAAAAAATTCGGCGAGCGAAGCGAGTGGACGAGCGCCAAACTGAAGAACTTGTTCGGGCTCGCCGGGAGCCTGTTCGCGGGCTAGCTCCGAAGCGATGAGACTGAGACTAGCTGCTTTCCAAACACCAGACAGGTCCATTGACTATATTAAAGACCTGCCATTAAGATTTTGTTACCATGGTTCCGTGACTTTCCCTTTCCGATGTCATTTCTCCGCATTTGTACTGAATGGACTGCGTTTTTATTAGTTTTTTATTTAATTGCTTCGGTTTGCTGTTTCAGACCGTTGCCGACTGTGTTGAACATTACTACATGACCAAGCCGTTTTACTTTGACTTTCATGAGGTAAGTGAGAATTAGTGGGTCCTAGCACGCTTCAGTTATATGGATTGAAAACAGTCAGATCAGTCGAGCATGTGGTGGTGTAGTAGTTTAGTCATGCTCACCACAGCAAACAGGATCTTAAGTTCCTCTCAGGGATTCTTTTGAATATTTCTGACAAGAACCCCCAACCTTTTTACATGGCAGTTTCCCCCGGACCATTATACCATATTTATAAATACCCTCTTGCGCAGTTGTCTTTGCTTTATTGCTCTCCAATATATTTTTTTAAATTTTCAAGAATTTTTCTCTCGACTTATTGACTTTGTGTTGTGGTTACTCAGTGGAAAGCTCACGAAAAGGCCAAAGACGAGGGTTTGGAGCCTTCATCCAAGGAGCACGAAGGAACTCAATCTACAATTCTGTCTGAACCCCAAGCAAGCTCTGCGGCGCGCGAGCTCCTAGACGAAACAGAAAACGAGGACCTAGAGGAGCCTACGAAGCCTGAAATAATAACAATAGACTGATACCATTTCAATTATATAATCAGCTAATAATTCTTACTCTAAGAGGATCACGAATAAAAACGCCGAGAAACATCATTTTTGCGGACTTTCTTTTTTACTGGTACAGGGGAGGGGAGGGGAGATAAATGTGACACCGGATTACAGCGGATGATGCAATCGATCCAGCCCAGTCCTTTTCCATCTAATGATGAGTCGCCTTGTTGGTTTCGTCAGGATATTTTCGTCAAAGCAGTTATTACCTTTCAGAACATCGTGTTTGTCTCGTTATTTTACGTCCAAAATGCCGATAGCAGCTGTCAGAAGTGTAGAGGAAGAAGACTTTTTGACGATTTCCTTCTCTTATGAAGGAAAACAACGGAAAATGCAACGAAGCAAGGGTGAGATCTTGTCGAAGGCGTTGACGAGGATAGAGCTTTCTTCAAAGAAGAAAGCGAAAAAGGCGAAGAAGAACGTTGAATGCAACGAAAATGGTGATTCCGAGGAAGGAAATGCAACTCTTTGGTTTAACGGTGAACTAGTCGACTCAAGCCTTACCAACGAGACTGCCTGGAAAGATGGGGCGACGTTGGAAATCGGAGCTGAAACATTCACCGTAGAAGTAAATCCACCGACAATTAAATCTCTGTTACTCCCTGATAATATCATGTCAGGATTTCCTGTGATGCCTCATCTTGAGCTGGAATTTGGTGACAAGCAACACTGTCGCTACAAATGGTACAAATCAACTAATGACAGTGATGAACAAGCAAGTTCTGTCCCGGCCTCTGCCAAAGAAATTTTAAACTGGGAGGAAGTTGGAAGCGAGTTTCTATACACTCCCTCAATATTAGATGTTGGCTGTTACCTTAAACTGACTTGTGCACCAGGAAATGCCAAGAGAGTCAGTGATGTGACGTCGGAAATGACAAGCTCGTTGACTGTAGCAGCAGGTCCAGGATTTTGTCCCTTTGATGCGCGTCATATGTACACTAAAAAACAAACTGCTGATTACAGCGCATTCAGGGTTGTGTCCTACAACATTCTCGCCGACAATTATGCCAAGGACGAGTTTGCTCAAAAAGTTCTGTTTCCTTATTGTCCACCATATGCCATGGACATCAGCTATCGTCAACAGCTGTTACTTAAGGAAATTCCTGGCTATAATGCTGACCTAATATGCCTTCAAGAGTGTGGGTTTAAATTATTTGAGAAAAATTTGCAACCAGCTCTTGAGACTATGGGTTTTGAAGGTCTTATGAGATGTAAAGGTGAAGAAGTACCTGAAGGAGAGGCCACCTTTTTCCGAAAGAGCAAGTTTTCATTGATCACCCGGCATGATATCGTTTTAAAAGAAGCTCTCCTTAATGATCCTGCTCAAGCAGGGGTTTTACATCACGTGTCACCAATACCAATTTTACTGGAAACTTTGACAAAAAGGAATACAGTTGTACAATTGTCAATTCTCAAAGTCCTTGGTTTTGAGAAGCGGTATCTCTGTGTAGTTAACACACACCTCTACTACAAACCTACTTATCCTCATATAAGATTGCTTCAGGCCACCATTATTTTGAATCACATTCAAAAAGTTTTATCACAGTTTTGCTCAGGAGACACTGATAAAGGTGTGAATGTTCAAGCTGGTGCAGACCATATATCTCCCCAGATACCTAATGATGGAATGCAAGCTCACCCTCAGGTAGCTATCTTATTCTGCGGTGATTTCAACAGTGGCCCAAGAACTGGCCTGGTTGAACTCCTCACAACAGGCCGTGTTGACTCCACTCATCGTGACTGGACATTATGTGAAGACAAGGAGGAACACTGCACAACTCTGTCCATCAGCCATGATCTGGATCTTTTCTCTGCCTGTGGTTTTCCAGCATTCACAAACTACACTGGAGGTTTCAAAGGGACTCTAGACTACATTTTTGCAGATAAAACGTATCTAGAAGTCGAATCTGTTCTTCCTCTACCTAGTGAAGATGACCTCTCTTCACATCTGGCTTTGCCATCCGTTGTCATGCCGTCAGATCATTTAGCTTTAGTCTGTGATGTTAAGTGGAAATTGTGAATAGAGCCCATCAATGTTTTAATTTACATTGCATACAGATTTTTTATTACCCTGGTCAGAATTGGTCAACTCCAGTGTAAAGTAAGCAGAAAAATTAATAATTTACTCTAGTCTGCTCGCCTGCCAGGACATTTTAAAATAACAGTAAGAGCTGATTACTTACATTTGTACCCTCAGTNCTATGAAAGTCCAGGGTACAAACAGTATCACAGTCGGGCCCCGTTCACACTACGTCGGAGGAATTTGAAAACGGAGCTTTATTTCTCCTGTTTGGCCTTCAGTCCACACGAATCCGTCACGAAAACGGAGCTTCTCGAAAACGCTCTTTAAACCGGGGGAATTTGAAAACGCCGGCTTTGCATTTTAGTGTGGACGAAAACGCCGTTTTCAATTCCTCCAGCGTAGTGTGGACGGGGCAACAATAATTATAGACGTTAACACAGATAACACTAAATTCAAGGTTGAGACTCGTAGGCACCACAACTACCACTCTGGGCACGACTCTGTTTCTAAGGAATTCTTCTAACTTTGGTAAACTATTCTTGATTTGAATCCTCGGGACCCTCGCCTTTGGCTACCTTTGTTTCTTCCAAGTTCTCCGGGTTTCTTCCCTGTTGGCAACTTATCTTCGCCTCATTTTCCAACAAATTTTACGTTTAACAACTGTGTTTCATCTGGGGACGACATTGCTTTATTTCGCTGCTGCAAAGCGAACTGGCGCATGCGTTAAAAAGTCCAACGAAATGCCCAGCGAGCGCAAAGCATGATGGAAGCAAAGCATCAATGCCGTTATGCAGAGCGCAGATATCCTTATCATTTTAGACAGAAGTACAGCCATCCTTTTCTTATCTCCTGAAAAAAACCTTTAAAAGCTTTTTAAATTCATAAATCCCCGTACTGGGTCGGTTATTTGTTTCGCACGTGCAACAGCGCGCGCGCTAAAAAATCGTTGCTTTGTCGATTGTCTGACATCATTCTCATTTGTACATAACAAACATAGAGCACGAGGAAAGTCGGCTGTAAACTTATTGGAGAAATCAATTGACTAAATACTCATTTTAGGTGTTTGAAAATGGAAGAAATCAAAGTTAAACGGAAAGGGTAATTTGTTATAAAGTAATTTTATTAAGCTGACCAGGAGTTTTACCAGGAAAACTACATTGTTTTAACTCATTTGAACTCTTATAGGACGAGAAAGCGAAGGAATGCTAAAAACCGCAATAACGATACTCTCCAAACGAAAGCAACTGAAGACTGGGAGGCCTCGGTAAGTTTCAAATTTATTTATCTTCGTTATGCTTTGTCAACCGAAGAAAGAGTGTTTTTATTTTACTGCTTTCAATTTAACTTTTAGGAAACAAAACCAAAGATAGAAAGGGTCTGTGCGCCAGCTGATTACAAAATAATGGAGGGTAGGTATTGAAGATATTTTTTTAAGAAAGGAAGTTAAATCCAACTCGTTGGAAAAGAATCGAAAGACGCTTTGAGATTATAAGTTGCTCAGGTTTTTGCGTGATCTTGTAGTGAGTTCTTTGCAAAGATAAGGATCATAGTACATCTTCGATTCACAGAAAGTTTGCAACTTTGTTTGCGGAATGACAAGTCGTGCAAAGTATTGTGAGTTTGTTGCTCCTTTAAGCTTGAAGCTGTTAGTCTATGCATGACACCTCGAAACAGGCTAAAAGAGACAAAAATAAACCTTGAGGTCCACACTGTATCTATCATCACTGAAATTAAACTGTCAATCGTTAAACAGCCCAAAAATTAACCATTAGCTGTCAGAAAGCTATATTCAGTTTTACCATCATCTGTCGAAGGTAATACTCCAATGAGCCTCAAATTAGATCTTTTCTGCGGATAGAAAAATTCCCGACAAGCCCTGCAACTGCCTCGAACAATCAGAGCATGACCGAATCTGTACGCTTCATCAAACCTTACACCGCTTTTTCGCTATGACTGGCCTCTGAAGGCAGCCAAAGCCGCAGACGTGATATTACACAACTTGATTTGAGATACTGCTTCTCGAGGCGCTGCCGGCCCTCTCAGTGGTTAAAACTTAAACGTCTTATAAATGTAATTCAGGTTAAAAGAATTGGTTAGCTATTTCCTAACAACTACAAGCAATTCAACCCTTCTGCGTCTCCTTCATTTAGTTGAATTTCCATTGCAATTACGCAGAAAAGTGTCTTTGCTCGTAGCGTTACAGCTAGGTTGCAGCAACATCTTGCGCAAAGTTGAATTCGCATCTATACTTTGCGCGCTGCATTGTACTCCCAAAATACATATAACAGCTTGTGTTCAGCTGTGATTCTACTTCTGAATATTCGTGCCATTCTGCGTGCAATATGCAGTGTCGGGGTAAAACGGCAAAGGAGATCAGTGTGCGAAAAGTTGCACCGCTCTGCAGTAACACTAGTTTTCAACGCGCCATGAAAAATTGCACTGTTTCCGTGTTATTTAGAGCTCATTGAAGATCCAATGAATGAAGAGAGGGAGCGAAGACGCAAGGCTATTGAGAAGTGGACGGAAGAATCTCATGAGGAATTCGCTAATGGGTAAAAGCAGATTACGAGATCGCTTGCGTTTTCTTTTCAGAATTTCTACTTTTTTTCTTTATCTTTCAGTTTCCTTATTTGTGATCCTTTATGTTTTATTTTATTTGCAGGTTGGCAAGACATGGAAAAAGATTTCGTAAGCTAGCCGACCCTCTGCCAGACATTGTACGTATGCCGTTCTGGCAAATTCCAAAGAGATGACATTTCGAGCGAATCCGACGAAATTTGACCTCTGATCGAAAACATTCGCTCTTCGAATTTGCGCTTGAGATAAATTTATAATATAGAATTACACTTCAGGCCCCAGTTGTTCGAAGGCTCAATAACGCTATCCACCGGATAAATCGCCATCCAGTGGATAAGTGTTAACAAAACAAACCACGCTATCCACTTGATAGTGATTTGTCCGGTGGATAGAGTTATCCACCTTTCGAACAACCCGGTCCTGTATTTTATTGACGTGGGCCTTCTGACGAAAATGCAGTATAACTTTTTTTTTTTTCCTTGGGATGTAAAATTCTTTCATATACATTTCAGAACATTTCCTAAGGCAGTCTGATAGGGTGATGGAAAGATGAAAAAGGCAACGTATGCTTTGTATTCACTGGCGCCTCAGTGTTTGAGTCGTTTTTGCTTAGTTTTCTTGCCTTGCGGCTTTCCAATGCTGCCAACAAG